CTTATTGAATGTAAAAGACATCAAACCAGCCAGGGTTCTATAAACCACCCTAACTGGATGGGGCTCGGTGGTTCTTCCTGGCAGCCGGAAGGGTCGACGTTTTTTCGGTGCAAAGCGGTGGACCTTGGCAAGTGCCCAAGCTGCTTCGCTTGGAGACATCGGGGCTCGTTGCCGGGGGCCGTGACTTGGTCACTCGTCCGCTCGTGCGGTTCGATGAGAAAGTTCCTGGTAGGTGACAAAGGCAACACATCTTACCAGTGGTTTCAGAGGTTCAATGGCAGGCACCCCAAGATGTCTAGATTGGAGTCCACATAGACCAGTGGCCTTGGGGATGGCATCTCATCTACTCTGAAACCATGTGTATTGCTCTTAAACCTCTCCCACCATTGAAGGGATTGGGTGTGGCCTTGACATCGAACATTGGGTGGCCCAACCTTACAAGACCGGGTAGCCTTCGTTTGACCCGGTGTTGGTCGTCTCAAACCGTCCCAAAACCGAAGCCTTGATTGGAACCCCAAATCCATGGGGGTTGTCACGCTCCGTGAAAACCGCCCTTTCCTGGTCCCGAACCAAACCTAGGGATTGGTGAGAACCCAGACCCCTCCAGAGGATTCGGGGCCGAACGGGTCGCGTCTGGGGTTCCCACATCTCGTTGAAGGGTCCAATCTTGGAGGGGGACGAGACGAAGGTTTTGGCAGTTGGACACCAGGAAACAGCTCTTCAGCTGGAGAATGGGTCCAGTGTTTTTCGTTGTGGGCCTGGAGCCAAATCCACACACCTGAAGGAAAAAACCAGATCTTGGAGGGGTCCAGGTCTTTTTATACCCTAAGAATCCTTGGGCTGTCCATGGCAGGGGTCGGACCCTCCATGGCAGGGGTCCGGGGCCTCACAACCCTATCTGTTTGAGGGCCCGGATTCTTAGGGTAATAAGCAGATCGTGAGTCTTGTCGCCGAAAACGGCTCCACCACACTCCAAGACTTCCAGACCCGTTCTCAGTGCCCGACAGCCGCATTTCTTCGCCCACGCCAGGAGGGCATCCCCGAGATGGCCCGACGGATGTTGAGAACCGTCCGGGGCATGGTGGCCAACTTTCAGGCGAGGAAGGGGTTCAGTCCAACCAAGCCCATACCAGCACCCTCCTGGCCAGGCTGTTAGTTGAGGGTGGTTGGACCCTAACAGGTCGAACCATTGGTGACCTGTCGGAGGGTCCTGGTATGGAGTGCCCTGGTCACGGAAGAACCTGGGAATGACCCAGCATCGGTTTGGGGGAATCGGTGCATCCCACGCCCCAGCCATTCGGGAGCGTCCCACGACCCCTGAGAAGCGCCTAGAGGAGTCCCATGTTGAGCGCTGGTGGCCGTGCTAGTTCCGGTAGGTCCCAATGGGGGAGGCGCTCGCGTGCTCATGTCGGAAGCTGGGGGGATGTCCGGAATGGCAAAGCATTTGGAAGGTGGCAGTTCATCGCTATTTTTTTAGGCCATCGCATTGGCAGGTTGGAGGCCATCGCTCTTAGGATGGAAGGTGGGTGATGTGGCCAGTTTTTCCCTGGCCGCTTCTCACCCCCGCAGCTCTCGTTCTCGAGCCGTTGTCCTCAGCGCGGTTTCCTACGCTCCCAGCAGGGACGGACCGACGTGGGAAAAGCAGCATCGCCCAAAAGGCCCAGAAATATGGATGACCTCGGCAAGCTTTTTTGGGGGACACTGCAGAAACCCACTAAGAGCAAGACAAGAACCCAACTAAGCAGGTGGACAGTTCGATGGATCATGAGGATGTTTTTCCTATATGTTTTGAATCTCCAGAAGGAGGGACCCTGAAACCCAATCCCAGAACCAAATGGAAATCAAAACTATCCCGGCGCGAGACCCCAAACAGTGTGTGACACCTCGATTAGACCCCGGCCCCCCTTAACCACTAGCGTAAGAAACCCTAGCCCTAATGTGACCACACTGGGGAGGGGATTTAAATCAAATGCCCAGACGCTCCGTGAAAACAGCCCAACTGGTCCCGAACCAAACCATAGAGATTGGTGAGAAACCCCAGACCCCTGACCAGTTCGGATTCGGGTCCAGTCGTGTCTGGGGATGCAGGCTCAGTCCCCAGCACTGGTCGAAACAACATCTGCCGCACTGGTCAGCTGTTTCTTGGGACACTGCTGTTCCCATCCGGTTCACCAGCAGCAGTTGCAGCATGGGCTCCCCTCTTGGAGGTGGCATGTGGTTGGACCACTCCCCCCTTACGGATCGCGTGGTTTTTACGATCATCGACACCCTGGAAGGCTAACATGGGTGTCTGAAAACCACAGGTTGGTAGAGGAAAACAATCTTCCAGGAGGCCATTGCCAGGGTCCCAGTCTTCTGGAGTGTACCTTGCATTTCCTGATTGGGTGTGTATGGAGACCTAGAATGCCCAGACACGCCACGTGGGACTGGCATATTTGCACCCATTCGGGTGGTTGAAAAGGGGTCTATAAGTATAATATAGTATATACATGCCCTAGGGATCCACATACCTTCTCAGAAGGTACGACTGGGCCCTCCAAGCCCACATAAACAGTCTCCAATCACCTTCTGAGAAGGTACTTGGATCCCTAGGGTAGAAACGGTTCATCATCCACTAAGGTTTGGGGGGATTGGGATACCCTAGACTTCCAATTAAGACAATTGTTTAAACAAAAAGAATGGGAATCATCTGGTGTTTGTAGTGTCAAATCCTTAGGTTGATTCGGGATGACCCGCCTATGAAATGAATGGTTGGCCAGGAAGCATAGAGATCGAAGCAAGTTCACCATGCCACGTCCGACGGGCCGCGCTTGGTGAGAGCCCTTGGCCCGAGCCGCGCTCGCGCTCGCCTCTCTCTGAGCTAGCAGCTAGCACTCCCTGGAATCATGGGTTACGTGGACCAAATCGCCTCCTCGGTTTGGCCGTGAGTCAAAACCATGAAAGCCCTAGAAGTCCAAAGACTATATTTTGACCGGCTGAAGTAAAGGAAGTTCCCTTTCAGTTCCCCTAAAGACCATTCTTTTTATAGTCTTTGACTCCCAGGGAAAGTAAAAAAGATCGTGGATTGACATCCCGAACATAGAGGAATCGGTTCATTTCCAGGTCAGGCGCCCGCAGGTTTTGACCCACCCAAAGGCTCAGGCTCGCAGGACCCGTTCCCCGATCGCGGTCCGGGTGACATGACCCTCAGATCGCCAGGGTGAAATGGACCCTTCACCAACATGTAGCAGTTTGAGGGTCATTGAGGGTCCATAAACCTCTGGGCACATCCATTTATAGAGAGGAAACATCGGGGTGGGGCCGGCCACGTTGGCGGACACGTCCTCGTTCCGTCACCGATTCTGAAGTACGAACTGGCCGCCGAGTCCAAGTCCTGGTATGTTCTACCCGGGAATCTTTCAACGATGCAGCATGTCTGCCTAACTTGGCTGGGTTTTATAGATGAAAAGGCAGAAACCGCCAATGCACCAGGATTGGAAGGATATACCCTTGCCGCGTTGAGTGGCGCGCGGAACTTGAACTGGTCTATAACGTCCTTTTTCCCCGCGGACACCGCACCGCACGGCGCTGGCTCGCTCGCTCGCTCGCGCCGACAGGAGCGGAAGGAATCTGAAATGTATGTGAGCCACTTCGAGCGAATGACCGGGAGCTCCCCGGGTTTCAATCAAACCGTCCAGGAGAGGCGGGGGGAGTGGCCAAAACCCATGTTGGATGGAGGCGGCGGTCGGTGAGTCTGCCAGGAGGATTGGTTTGGGGCATGGCGTACGGGAGTTCTTGCAAATGTCTCCAAAGATGTCGAAGCGATTTCGGAGATGATCTCTTGCAGGAGACCTGGATTCTACCCAGTTTGACACTGGGGTCCACTCATCCACTCAACAATGAGAAGAATCCTCTAAACGTGTTTCTCAAACAAAATACGGGAGTGATTGAAGCTTGTTTGCTGAAAATGGTCATCGCCTTCCTTGAAGGCCATGTTTTGCTTGCTCCTTTCAAAGGCCAAAGAGCTACGTGAACATGCACTGTGTGTATAGTTACACTTGTGCCAGACGCTCCGCTCCGTGAACACGTGAACACCGCCCGACTGCGACGGTCCCGGTGAGCAAACGGTCCCGCTCCGTCCGACGGTCCGACGGATCCATTCGGTGGGTCTCGGGACAGGACCGGACAGCACGTGTGCAGAGTGGACCATCGGTCCCATGTGGATGGAGGGAGTCGTGGTCGAACAAAGGAATTCCCCGGCTTTGAAAGCCAAAGCCTTTCGGGATTTGATGTTGATATCTCAAAGCCTTTCAAGAGTTTGAAGAATTTTTTTCTTCCCTCCAACCGAGTGATTCACCCTTTGAACTGCAAGATTCACACATTCCATCAGATGAAGGTCTCCTCTATCTCTCAGTCGTGCAGCTGGTGATTCACCTGGTGCTTTCGCCAGGAGATGTTGGACTTCCTCTTCGGCGACGAGGTCTCCGACGACTTCAAGCGCCGGGCACTGGACGCCGCGGTGCACGAGGATTTGACGCTCTGCCATGCACCAGGGTGGGTTTTTGTGTGTGTGTGTGTGTGTCCACCTTTGTAACTAAGAGTTTCTGTTTTTCTCAACTTTTAAGTCGCAGGGGGCGTGACGGTCGATTTCCTAGTCACGCCAACGAAGCTAGGGAAATCGACTGGATGGAAGTTTGGACGCACACTTCTGTACCTGCGCGGATGAAAACTTTTGCACACGCTGTGACTCCACTTTTCCTTTTGTTGTTTCCATGGTGGTTGTTCGCATGATATCCCCCAAAACAGGTTTCCTTAGCTTTGGTAAAGTGCTAGTGCGTTTGTTAAACAGTTCTGTTCTTCGGACCCTTGCACCTTACCGTTCTTGCAGTAAAGGGCTAATGCAGTAACTAGCTTCCGCAGTCAAGTGTGAAACCACTTTGTTCAAACACCTACAAATGCTTGGACTCTTGACCTTTCTGTTCCACCACCTTTCTTTGACTTGGGAACATGGCGGCCGCCAGCATCTTGAGCGGCATCGACTCGCAGCGGTACGCCGATGGCAATCGCCAAGAGCTGCCGGACTATGTGATGACACTGATGCGCGGGGCATTTTGGATGCTGATGAAGGCGCACCATGCGGCCTCGTACCCGCCTGACCACGTGACTGCGCTGGTGTGCTCGAGCCTGATGGTCGAGCCGGGGCTGGTCGTCGTCGCATGCAGAGCACTCCGCGACGAGCAAGACGCGGCCATCCGGAACTACATGGTCAATTTGGATTTCGCGGACTCACGGCGATGCCGGGGATCTCCATGGTCGGCATCCAACGAAGACACCATAGATTTCCTGTGACGTGAGTCAGGGACGCCTGACTCACGTACCTGCATTTTTCAACTTTCTCCGTCTCACCCTTGTTAAAGGGGCGCCGCATGTGCACAGACCCAGATCCTGGGGACCCACCCTCGAAAACAAAGGTCGAGCTCTGGAACTTCATGTGAATTCCCTTGATCCACCGTTCTGCTCGATACCACTGATACTATGCCGCAGGGCTCACTGAGACTTACGCTCCAGTCAGGATTTGAACTGTCGGACATGTGTCTAAGTATTCACCTGTACAGTCTGCTTGACTAGGTAATCACAGGCGGGACCTATTCCTTTGTACAGAACACTACATAAATAAAATATTTTTTCAGACTACACAGGCAGGGTTTGCACATGATCTTGCTGCGTGCACCTTCATCCACCTGTTTGTCCTCTCTCGTACGCCATGAACTACAAATGGATGGCTCCCTACCAGGCTCCGCCATTGACAGCACCTACGGTATTGACAGCTTCTTCGGCTTCCTCGACTCCTTATGCCTTCAGCCAACGGTGCAAGTTACGTCCTCTCCACCTACCACCACTGTACAACCGCCGGCGGCGGTAGCCAAAGCGGCGCCGCCGCCGGTTGGGGGAGGCGGCCGCGGTCTCGAAGGGGACCAAACAAGGCTTTGTCTGGGAGGCGTTCTTGGTTTGTCAACATTGGGATGATTCCTTCACCAACCTGGTCTCATCTCGAGAACTTATCATTCAGTACCTTTGGTTCAACTTCACCCAACGGATTCCAACCACCCATCCCAGTACCAGACACTATGACAACTCGCCATTCACCATCCTGGATTGTTGTGCCCCTGACACTTCCGACGTCCAGCGTCACCATCGAAACTCCCACCTCGTCCCATGCCGACAACAACCCACACACACACACACGCACAACCCCTCGCGGCTGTTGTTCGCGAACTTGTTCGCGAAGCCATTTCCAATCCTTCCACCATTCCCGCACCTCCACATCAGTCCCCACCCACATTGCCCAGCACATCTCCGGATGTCGCATCAGCCCCTTCCCCCCTCCCCCACTCCACCACCAGGAGCCATCCTCAACACCCAGGGCCACAGCAAAAACTCGGGCCAGATCTTCCCCCCCGCTATCCACCAGCATTTCGGTCTCCAAACCCCGTCCACCGAGTCGTCCAATCACCACTGCTTGCTCGATTCCTTTGATCCATTGGACACCTGTTGCACCTCGACCGCCCCACCCGGCCGCTGGGCCCAAACACCCTGGCAAGCGTGCCTCCACCACAGGCCCACCACCCTCTCACCCTCCTCCACTTCGAGGAGTATGGGCGCCCCCACCTCTGACCGGTTGCAAAACTAGGGCCAGGTCTCGCTCTCCACGTCGGCAACCACTCCCAACCCCAGGCATTCTGACACACCGGCACACATCAGTCCCAACTTTGCCTGGGATTCACGTCCCCACCTCCACGGAGGCCCGCTTCGAGGACCTCCCATTTCATACACTGAAGCAGACCGAGACATCGCCAGGCAGACCTATGGCTCCAACACCCTCAAACGCATCAGAGTGAGTGAGTGGAATGGAGTGGAGTGGAGTCGAGTGGAGTCGAGTGGAGTCGAGTGGAGTCGAGTGGAGTCGAGTGGAGTCGAGTGGTGTGGAGTGGAGTGGAGTGGAGTGGAGTGGGGTGGGGTGGGGTGGAGTGGAGTGGAGTGGAGTGGAGTGAGTGTAGGTCGCAGCCACACGAACAAGAAACCTCCCGTGAAGGTGTACCTAGATCTTCCAACTGTGCAACAGTTCTGCCTAATAATTACTAACTTGGCTGGTTTTATGGATAAAAAGACTTAAATTCTGCACAATTGAAAGATCCAGGTATGACCACCTCATTTACATTCCCTACTGGAAGCCATCCAAATGGGCCGGTCATAGATTTGCATGGAATGACTGGGAGTGTTTTTCTGGTTTCCGCCTTCGTCTCGACCCCAGCCGCCGAGTTGGCGAGTTTTAGGACAAGGGGGCAGTGGAAAAAACGATCGGAATGCCTTTTGAACATCTTGTTCCAAAAGAGTGGAAGACCTGAGGTTGAAGAACCCTATATATATATATATTTTTTTTCTAGACTATCCTATAGGTACCCCTGGTTTACGGGTCCTATTTACGGTCACTGGCTACCTTTGTTGGTTGAAGACCTGCCACTTTCATATGTTCCCCGAAAGCTGAAACGATCTATCAACGATGATCTACGTGTTCAGACCCCTTCTGCCGGTCCAACCGGTGGAACTCCGCTGCAGACCTCACGTGCCTCACGTGCCTCACGTGCCTCGCAGTTCAGGAACCGTGGAGAATTGGGCTACTCCTTCGACGTTCGGGGCCCTGGACGGGCCGACGCAGGTCGACCAAACGGGTCTCTTGAGACCGGCGGCCACGGAGGTCGCTGCTCGTGCCATGGCACGTTCCGGGGTGCGGCCAGGGTGTCCCGGTCACGTCACATCCACTTTCGCCACACCTGAGGTGTTGTTGGTCCTTTTCGGAGACGTTTGGTTTGCAGGTCGGGAATGGACCTCATGAGACACTGGACATGGGTCTATATATAAAAACTACCCAATATACAAACGCGAGGTATTGTACTGGACCTTTGCAAGATCTTCGTGTATCCCACGTGGAAGAAAAGCGCATGTTCCGTCCCAGGTCTGAGGGGAACCGACCCTTCACGAGTGCTCAGACCATCACTGTGAAGATGATCCGAACGCTGGATTCCCCTTCATCTCCAGTCGGCGCCACCCGGGATCCTTCCGTGGTTGGCGGTTCCCAAGCCGCGGCGAAGTCGCCAGCGCCGTGGGCGGTGGAAAGTGCGCCCGCGGCTCATTGGGGAGACATCAAGTCTCATGAGGCACGTGGTGAATGGCGAAACCCAGACGCTCCGTTTTCGTGAAAACCGCCCCGACTCAGACGGTCCCGAACCAAACCATGCAGATTGATGAGAAGGGTCCAGACCCCCGGGTCCCAGACCCCTGACCAGGACGGATGGGGCCTGGTGAGGTCGCGGAATCGGGAAGCACCGAATTCGTTCCCATCGTCGATCGGCCGCAGTCATGTTCCGCAGTCATGGGCAGTCATTTGCGGCCATATATATTTCCACGTGCCCGGTCGTCCGAAAGCAACCCGAAAGAAACACAGCAGGCAGTGAAGGAACCCCTGTGCAAAATGAACCCAACAGGTCATATATACTCAAGATTTGCACCGGGGAGAGCATCAGAACCCTCGTTTTTACCGACACCTTCCAGCCAGCTTTAGCCGAACGCGCACACACGTCGCCATCGCCACGCCCAGGCCAAACAAGGGACGAAGGTCAACCACACGAGCCACTTGCCAAATCCAGGAGCCGAGTCATTTGTTCAAAGGCAGCTGACCCGAGCCGGAGCCGATGTTGAGGCTCGGTAGCCGTTTGGAGATGCAAAACGGGGAATAGACCTGCAGGAGATAAAGAACGATCCAGCCAAGTGACCTGCTTCATCCGAGGTGATGATTCAGAACTGGACGCAGCCCGGTCCTACTTGCCGCTGGTGGACCAGGACCACCGCTTAACCCGCGCCACCTGGATATATGTTTTCGGGAGAAAAGAGAGCGTGCTCCGAAAAGGGCAGAGACGAGGGGCAGTCCGGTGGCCAGGTTCCTGGGCCTGGATGCTGTCGGAAGTCCGGCGAGGACCAGGCTGATAAAACAATGGAACAATTTGGTGTTGTAAATGAAACAAACCTTACCCTAGGCTTCCAACAACCATTCATTTAAATAGGCTTTACCGAGTCAACTAAGGATTTTACGCTACAATCACCAGGTCGTTCCCATTTTTTTAATGGTCTTCACGGAAGTCGAACGCGCTTGGTCAAACGCAAAAACAGCTGGTGTTCAGAAAGGATGACCGAGATCATCGTCGCCCGCTGTAGTTGGTACAAAAGGACGACTCGCTTCGACAGCTTTCCGTTCGCTCAGACCTCACAATGGACCGTCTGAACCTCCCAGTCGCAAAAGCCACCGCCACGTTGAGGTAAAGGAATGAGACGCCCGTTCGACTTCCGGGAACGACCATGAAAAAAAAATGGGAACGACCTGGTTTTTGGTCGTGCAAAATCCTGATTCGGGATGACCCGCCCATTTTCCAATGAATGGTTCTTGGAAGCCTAGGGATCGAAGGAATCTCAGTGTGTACCTGGACCATCCGGCCATCTGGGTGTGCTGGATATCTCTAGAAGTAGTGGGGGGGGCGGGTCGCGAGTTGGATTTCGGGGCACGGACCAGTCCTTGCAATGCTTAGAGTTCGGGGAACTGCGTGGAATGATTCGAAGTAAGTAAGACATTAAAGCCATACCTTGGGAGTCAAAGACTATGAAAAGAATGGTCTTTAGGGGACCTGAAAGGGAACTTCCTTTACTTCAGCCGGTCAAAATATAGTCTTTGGACTTCTAGGGCATATATATGTGGGCTGTTTCCGCATTTAAGAAGCTACGAACGGGGCTCCTGGCATCGCGACTCGAACGGAGCAAGGATGCTACGAACGGGGCTCCTGGCCGTACTACTAGTAGCAATGTTCGCTACCAGTAGCAAGTCTTACTACAAGACGGCCCTTTGAATCAAATGTTCTCCGCGCTCCGTGCTGCCGGCTTGCGCTCCGCGCCACGCCATAAGAAGGCGCCCCGTTCCGAAGCGCTTGGCGGGCCAGGAGGTGTTGGAAGAGTACAAGGAAATCCAGAAAGCCCTCGGCTACGCCGTTGGAAGTCCAGCCCTGAAGTAGCCGACCAGAGCAAGGAGAAGAGGCGTCTGCAGATGTCTGCAGATGTTTCTGCGTTGTGTGCAGCGAGAATAAAAGGAAGCGAGCGGTGCGTCAAGCACAACTGGTCACTTGCAGGATTGCCAGTCGAAGGCTCTGATTATGTGAGATCACCTGATCACAATGTGCAAGGAGGATTGTGACGTGGTTCTGCATAATATGAGGTTTCTTCTTTTTGGTAAGTTGTACCCTGACCGAGGGTAACTTGGGGGCCTCAGAGTGTTCAGAGTACACAAATTCCCTGGCTGGTTGATCCAACCCGATCAACTTAAGTGGCTTACGGGCTTGTGCCATCTACTCTGAATCTACTGCAACTCAGTTGGTCAGTACCTGAAAAAACCGCGCACCCACACAAAAAGCGCTACCCTGTAATAGACTCGTTTGATCGTTTTCTCATTGAAAAAGAGGGTGTCTGACTGAAAGCGCTCGGCCCAGTGCGCCCAATGGGCTCGAGCGGCGAGCTGACAGGGACCGCCCTTTGGGGTGGTGAGCCGACGACACGGCCTGACATGGCCTCGTCCATCAGGCCAGGTGATTTGGTCCATCCAATCACCACCCGAACTGCGTGGTGCTGGTAGATGTCACAACTGGGTCTTTCACCCAAATGACGAGAAACGTGTCTCTTTTTCTTGGCGGTGTCCCCCGAAACCTGTCAAACCCCGAACTCGGGTTGAAACCGAGCGGACCATCAGGTTCAACCACCAACCACGAGCGGACCGCGGACCTCCAACCGACGACGTTTGGGCTCAAGATCCACTTCAGATCCATCGAGCAAACCCACTCGACGTTCCATCCATGATGCTCAGCACAGCACGTCCGTCGTGGTTTCGTCGACGACGAGACCAGAGTCGTCGTGGTCGTGCTGGGAAGCCGAAACGGATGGACGTCCGAGAGAGCGACGCCAGACACCAGACACGACGGACTGCCAGAGGTCGATCAGGCCAGGGGTGGGCCATGAGGGGTCTGGCCTGAGGTGGCAGTCCTATGGACGTCGTGTTTGGGATACCCTAGGGATCCGTTTTTGTACCGAACCGGAGGTCCAGGTGGCAGTGGATCCCTATAGGGATATAGACCCCAATACCGTTCGCCTCCATGGCTGGCCCCACCGATGGCCCGGAGGGTCTCTTTTGGGTTGAATTCGCCTTCAAAGACCCTTAAAAGAACAGTTGAGCTGGTGGTGTAGTGTAAAAATGAACAGAAGTCCCTAGTAAAAATCCTTAGTGTAAAAATCCTTCGCAAAACCATGGTTCTTGGGTAAAGACCATTAAAACTTAAAACAATGGTTGTTTGAATCCTTTGGTTTATCCTAAATACCCCACCCAGGTGATCTGGTGATGTGTCCCCGGTCCTTGGCAAACCTGGCGGCACTTGAACCGGCGGCACTTGAACCGGCGGCGCTTCCAAGCTGGCGGTCTCAGCCCCAAGTGGACACCCCATCCTGCCCGATGGGAGAACTCGGTGTCAGACTGAAGCTGAAGAGGTTCCGAGGGCGCCACTCCGGCTGTGAAGCAGCTTCAGCATGGAGTGCCCAACCGCCACCGACCCGTAACCGTTCGAACGCGCTCCGGTCGGTCCGTTCGAACGGTGTCGGTGACTGTGCACCATCCACAAACAGATCCAAGATCGAAGCCTCCACAAACAGACCGTGCACCATCCACAAACACCCTGGGATTGGACCACCGCGGTCGTCACCGTCACCGCCGGGCGCGGCAAGCACTCAGGACCAAGTGCCTGCTGCGGGTGGCCCTCCTGGCGGCGTCGGTGGCGGCGTCACCGTGGGAGGCCGCTTGGGGAGGCTGGGAGGCCGCGTTGGCCCAGTCCAGCCGGTGGAGTGGTAAAACCTGGAGTTTCGGGAACTCATCCTGGTAGCTTCAACGCTAGTAACAAGAAGCTACTAGCGAACGGGGCTCCTGGCATCGCGACTCGAACGGAGCGAGCAAGGACGCGAACTGAACGGGGCTCCTGGCCGTACTACTATTAGGAGCAAGTAGCTACTATATAATATAATAGTCTGTTTTCCTTGGATGAGCCCTTCAAAGCATGTCCCACGGACGTGCCAAATGGTCGAACAGGACCTTCTGCCTGGGAGGGCGTGGACCTTCACCCAAACGCAGCTACGGGCACCACACCGAAACCTCGGGAGAAGGGCCCCCAGTCTTACAGACTGCTGTGGCATTCCTCCAAGTCCGGCATTCCTTCCGACGCTCGTCCGGGGATGCCGAAATGCGAGGTTTGAAGGATGCGATCACCTTCGCCGATCCTATGCATAGGTACCCCATGCATAGGGACCGGTCCGACTGGTTCCGGGTCATGGAACTCGCTACCTCTCGAAACAGCACCCGACTTCACAGGTGCTTCCTGGTGACAACAGGTGCCCAGAAACCACCATAAACCACCTGTGGTTGGGTCTCCAAACAGCCTGTTTGTTGGAGGGTTTCCTTCAGCACCTACCTGTTTGGGGCTGGTCGCTCTTGGGCCTTGGAGCGACGGAGAACTTCCGCCCAGGGCCTCACCGAAGCTCAATGCGATGCTTGGTGTTCAATCAATTGGAGGAGAAGGAGTGAGGAAAAGGGCAGAGAAATACATGTAGGTCAGCAGCTAGAACCTCCATGAACCTTCGAAGCATGAGTCCATGACTGGCATGCATGCCGCATGCCGGGTCGCCTGGTAGAGATGAAATGCTAAATTGATACTTAATTAATAGCAATGGCCTCCAACGTAGTAGCTCCAGGCTCCAACCTAAGAGGGATAGCCTCCAACCGAACTCGCCCAAGTTCACAGACCAACCCGCAGTCATGGGTTCTAGTCGTGGCTGGATGTAGATCGTCCTTTTCAAGTTCGTTGGAAATTTGCCGCTTGCACGCCCATCTTCGGCGATGCATTCGATGGGTGTGATCTTCTTTTTTCGTTGCTCGCGGAGCTATTATCTCAAGTCGCAAAGGCGCAGCCTGCCTTGATTCGAAAAAAGAATTTAACTGGCATTTCGTTTGAGGGATGAATTTGAGGAGGGTCCGACGCATGTTTGTTGAAGGTTTCACTTTCGGTGCTGTCTGGCTTTTCCACAGCCCTACAAGTAACATGTCTTCTTTGCAGATACAAAGTGTGTTTCATGAACCTCTGCTCACCCATACTACATCATACCACCGAGCATAGTCACTTCAGACTACCTCTTGTGGCATGACGCATGCACCCTAAGGGCTGTGCACATCACCTTCCACACGAAGCATGCACCTCCGACATGGTCATGTTTTTTGTGCAAGGTGCAGATCCCTTGTAACGTAGGCCTTCTTTTTCTCGGGATGGATGAGCAAACTCCAAGTTCGTGAACATTCGGCTGAGCTCGCTATGGGTTTTTGGGGTCTTCCCTAAGAATCTTCCATGGGCAGGGGTCGGACCTTCTCCACCTTCAACGCACGGGGGAGTTCCGGGCCCGGTTCCCAAAACCGGATTGTGTTGTGTGTTCGGGCTTGGCTCGTCAGTCACTTTCAAGAGTTTGGCTCTACCCTGGCATGGAACCTCAAGTTCGTGTAGAAAAACTCTTCAAGAACACTTAGTACCGGAATTTCCAGGACGGGTGCCGTTTCACCGGTCACGTCACATCCATCTGGATGCATGGGTACTATATAGCCACACCACCCAACTCGGACATGGCCAGCCCGCTGCGCCAGCCCGCTGCGCTTCAGCCAGCCCGACGCAGCCTCCGGGCACCCTCATCTCCACACCGCCTCAGCACCCCTCGTCGGCGTGGTCGTACCGTTCCCACCATCGCAGAGGATTTGGTCGAAACTCATTCGACTCGCCTTCCAAGAGAGGTAGCCAACGTTCCGTGACCTGAAGGAGTCGGACCCGGAAAACCTGGGGTACGGCATGGCCATCGTCGAAGTAGTTCAGGTTCGCTTCTTTGGACCCAACTCAGCGGCTGGGGGCTCCATCCGGTTCCCGGATTCGGCCACCCACCCATGAGAGGTGGCCAGTGACCGGGACCATAGGACCCGTCACCTGGGGTACCGACCTGGGATAGTCTAGTTCGGGTCATTCAACCTCTGTTGGACTGGCAGTGGACTCGTCCGGACGGATCCGACTGAAGGACGGCCAGGGACTCTTTCAGACCTCGGCGCGAGGGCGGTCGAAGTCCGGCCGGTCGCCCACCTCCAGCCCACTGGACAAGTGCCTTTGACAGCAGAAGAGATGCGTAAACACATCGAGGGTGCCCATGCGCGGTGATTGGAGACTGTTGATGTCGGCGCCGACCGGGTCGGGCCCAGTCGCACCGAACCGGAGGTCCAGGTGGCAGTGGATCCCTTAGGTGGAAGGGTGTTGAAGGGTCGATTTCTGTGGAAGGTGGGGATCGGTGAAAGGGCTGAAAAATGGCCTGGCTGTGGGTCAGAGGATCTTGGTGGAGTGCTCCCGAAAATGAACAGATGGACTAAGCCTAAGCTGACATGGTTTATCCGGGTGCCATGACCCACAGCCAAGTCCCGATCTGGACATCCAATCCCCTCCCAGACACGACTAATGGGACTGCCATATATGCCATACATTGACCCCTCATGGCCCGCCCCAATGTAGGCCCTAGACTTCCAAGACCATTAAAAAAACATGTTAACCTGGTTTCTGTAGTGTAAAATCCTTAGTTGGTTCGGTAAAGCCTATTAATTTGATGGTGGTTGGAGGTCTAGGGTAGGCAGTCCTATGGTCCCATGGAGTGTTTGGGCCTGGAAGATCTCCGATGAGGAGAGCCTGCCCGGGGAGACACTCCGAGTCAGCAAAGGGGAACCACTTCGACAGCTTGATGGATTCTGACCAAACACCTCCCAAATGCCTGCGGAAGGAGTCGAGTCAACCAGTCAACCTTCAAGCAGAAAAGAGGGCAACCAGTGCCCATGTCCCCGTGCGGAAGTGAGCGGTGAGTACATGTCACCATGCTAGCTACGCGGAGTGTTGATGCGGGTTCCCACTTCGAAGGATCTAGCCTCATGTCGGACATTTGGATGTCAGCCGGGGCTTCCCTGTTGAATTCCGCTGGCGAGCTCTGAGTGTACTTCTGCAGGTACTTGGGCCGACCAGTTTCAATCTGTTGTCCTAACGACCGGTCCTCTTCGTCTCCCAAAACATGGTGTCCGAATCGACTCCTTCCTCCTCGGCAGGTTTAATCAGCGACTTCAGGGTTTGGACCCGGCTGAACGGCGGTTTCAGGAACTTCCCTCTTGACTCGCCAGGGGGAGAGACCGGTTGGCTTCGGTGTGCGACCCGGTGCCGTGACGCACGTTGGAAGGAGTTCTCCGGCATACCAGAGACGGGTCTCTTAGGCGAGTCTATGTGACGCTCGCCTGGCACAAGGCTGGGACCCAGCTGATGCGGAGGCTCAGCAAATGGCGAAGTGCTTGACGTCAACGGGGAGCGTGTGTCTTTTTGCTGGGGAGACACCCCACCAATGGGTTTAATCGGTCTATTTCTTCCAGGGGTTCCAACTGGGAGGTCCCCTTTTTCAATACACACCCTTGAATGGCTATAGGCTATATATAGGTCATCCAATCAGTCGTCAGAAGCTCTGCAAGTAGTGTGGGGTATGTAGTCCAGCTTAGAAATACCCCAAACGGATGGTGGTGGTATGAATCATCCATCAGCATAGTCGCATGTGGCACCTGCCAGGTCACCACCCTGCTTCTGGTGGAAACGCCTGCATCACTCAGCCACCCATCACTTCTCGGAGACCTATAGAGTCGTCCGTGGGGTCCTGGTACCCAGTGTTTCACCGCAGTGAACGTGTTTCACCCACCGTTCGGTGGGTCACATGGGATTGGTAGGCCACATCGTCCTGGTACCTGCAGCGCCCACGACAGATTGTGCGGGGACTTCGTTTCCGGTCCGGAAGACACCGTCACCGTCATTCATGATTCTTTGTGCTGATCAATCCTTCAAAGGTTAGAACCCAGGGATCACATGAGGCTCTTGGCCTCTCTTGGCCCAAAAAGCATGTCGGGGTCACCTGGAAGCCCCTACACTAGCTAGGGATCTCCAGAGAGGACACCCCGACATGAAGGTCCAGGCACCAGCTGAGCTTGGTGACCCCTGCTTTGGGAGGGCTTCGATGCTTTGGGAAAAGAGGTCGGGCCTCCCAAAGCATCCCCCGAACCGGGGGCCCGAACCAAACCATGAAAAACCATGTTTTTGAGGGTTCGTGGGCGCCCCTGGGCCCTGGAACATCCCCCAGCCCGCCCGGAACACCACACCGCGGCCGGAACGGTGCGCGCTCCGCGCGGAGCATTCCGCGGAACGCTGAGGAACACCATGCGTTGGATCTGGGACTTGCTGGACGCCCGTGAAGCCTGCAGGTGTGGCTGGGGTGTTCGGCCACCAAGGAGGGCAGTAGGTCGGTGTGTGGGATCTGGGACGGGGACACGGGTGGTTCCAAAGCTTTCCCGTTTTCTTCCATTCAGAATGGCCGGGTTGAACCCGAAGAAAACCGTTTTACTCGGGATTTTACACGACCAGAACGACATGTTCATATTTAAGGACCTCCCCGGTGGGGACCGGCGGGTTCCGGCGGGTTCCGAATTCGGTGGTGGGGGGTAGGAGTCACCGAAGCTGCAGGGATTGCGGAGCCAAGTGCTTTTCGGTGCTTACCGTGTGCGATACCGTGTGCACAGTTGGAAGATCCAGGTACCAGCACCTTCAAAGGGGTCACCAATGGAAGCCCCTACACTACTAAGGGGCCTCCATTGGACACCCCTTGAAGGTCCAGGTATACAGTTGCGGTGTCCCAAAACGCTTGGATCCCAGCAGTCACAGAGCTCGGGGTGGTGTGGCGTTTCATTCCATCCGGTACCGGGGCCATGTGACGTGCGGCACACACCCCGAAACCAACCCCGAACCGAACGTGACTGCTGGGAGATGGTGTTTGGTCGATGATGTCCCTAGGAATCCGGGCTCCTTCACCAACAGGTAGGGTTTGCTTCGGCCCCGGACCCCTGCGTTTCGGTGGAGCTTAGTCCGACCCCGGACCCATAGACTGTCCAGCCCGTTTGGATCAGTCCCGGACCGGTGGTGGTGGTGCTTTGCGAGTCGCCTGCGCAGCTCGGCGTGTATAGGTATGACGGTTATGGAGTGGACCTCATCTCGCATGGCTTCTGGGAGCAGGAGCGGACGGCGCCCGCGTGTCCACGGTCGCACTCTGGAAGGCTCCTCCCCCAGGGCAGAGCCCGCAGAGCCAGAGGGTTTGGACGTGTGAGGGGGGCAATCGCTTCGGAGAGTCCGTGGTTTTGGTCGCGAAAGTGAGGTGAAGTGAATGTCGAAAAAGAAAAACGAGGAGGACGAGGGCCAGAAGTGAAGAAGTATACAGTATACACCACAGCTTTCAAGATGTGTCCGAAACAAAGAGTCACGTTTGGACTGTGTTCAACTCAAGGTGACTTTTCGATGAGGCGATCCTTTTTCACCAGCGATATGGGTGCCCTTGTGCATTTACTCTCAATCAGAGTGAGACCTCCAGAAGACGAGGCTTTTCAATTGAGGTGGCTTTGGCAGGGCAGATTTCTACCCTGAGATCAATGGTGCTTACAAACCACATGCACGGTGAGTTAAGCCTGCAAGCAAATCAAGAGCAACAGACTGCAACACAGACACGATCATTCGGTAGACTACAGAGGCCCGTCCGGACTGTAGATGGTCTAGACTGCCCCCCAGTGCCACCCGCGGTTTCACCAGGCAACTGGACACCGACCGCGTCCGAGCGTCCCGTCGCTCCTCACCTGGCGCTCCTCACGTTGCGCTCCGCGCGTGGTGAGGACTGCCCAGAGCACCCGGACGTCAAGATCCGCTTCAACAACCACGCGAACCAGACCTTCCTGCCAGCTCTCCGCGCGGACACCGCCAGCTCTGGCGGATTCAAGGGAGCCCCGAGTCGTTAAGCCCATTGAGATCTGGGTGTTGGGAGGGGTGTGGTTTTTGGGGCCACAGAAGTTGTGGGCGGCCTACCACAAAAGAACCAGAAGAGGCAGAGAAAGTTGCATGTTGAGCAAAACTATTGACCAGCTTCTTCAAAGTGACCTTTTGAAGGTTCCTAAGTGACCCTTAGGAGGCTTAAGTGACCTCAAACCAGGTTATCAAAAGGTCACTTTGAAGAACCAGGGATTGACAAGTTGGAGATGAAATTGTTGGAGAAAGTTTCATGTGGTTTGATTTCAGGGGGCTATGAGAGATCAGCACAGGAGCGGTAGGAGAACTATAGGTCTTGGCCAGTCTGAGCATTTGCTTGCCAGTCAATGTGGAAGACATCACTTTTTAACGATGTTTGGTAGGGATCAACATGTGTTCACAGTCCCCTCCTTTGATGTCTCTGTCTTCTATCTTGCTTGGAAGTTTGTCGGGATGATCATCATCATCATCACGGGGATCATCACCTGGATCGTCGTCGCTTTCCTCATCTTCGTTGATCTTATGAGCATGTTCTGGTGAAAACACGTCACTTCGGTGGAAAACCTTGTGACTCTACAGGTCTCCAAGTTACGGAGCCTGACTTATGCAGGCGTTTCTCGGAGTGCGGTGCTGGCAGGTCCCACCACCGAGGCTTGGGGACCGTTTCGAGTGAACCTGACAGCTCGTTCCATCCCGTTCCTCTCGGCCATTTCCACCGCGACTCACCATGGCATGAGACCGCCACGAGGACTGTGCCGGGACCCGCGTAGCCGGTATCGTATGGCATGGTCCGTGCCCTTTCACATGGGGGGCACTGGTCCCCAACGGGACGATGCCGTTTTCTCGGCCGAGCCTCTCCTCTCCCAGCAGTCTGTTTGGATCAGACCGGCCGAACCCGGAGATCAGAGAGACGCTCCATTCAGACCAAAGGCGATGGTGACGCACCGCTCTGGAGCTAGCTGGGGATCCATCTTGGTGATGGATCCGTCTCCGAGTTCCCAACATCCCACCCTGCATGAACTTGAATCCATGTTTACTATATATTATCCTAAAGCAATTACATACAATCAGTGCATGTCGAAATAAACAGCATGTGCAGCTCCACATCTCCAAAAAGGAGGCTGAGCAAAACCATGTCCCAAGACTCTTGGACGTTGAGGTGATGACCCTTCGAGACCCCTTGGAGATGGTCATCTCCTCCTATTGCAGCACGGCAAGATTGCGAGATCGAATCGTTTGAGTAGAAGAGAGCCCCTAGAAGTCCAAAGACTATATTTTGACCGGCTGAAGGTTTCAGGAAGTTCCCGTACTCAGTTCCCCTAGTCAGACCATTCTTTTTATAGTCTTTGACTCCCAGGGGAGCTGTTCCCGGTGTTGCCCCAACTGTTGCTCTTTGTTGCTCCCGACGCTCCTCGTGCGACGCAGCGGACGTCTTCGTGAACTTGGAACCGACGCGCCGTCACATGCGACGAGGTCCCGGGCGCACATGTGATGGGAGCTGTCCGTGTCCGAAGTCGAAGCAGATCATGTGATGGGCGGAGTGAAGGTGTTTTAGGAACGTGACCAATGGTTAGGGAGAGGAAGTTGAAGCATCTTCGGGTGGGCAGGTGGTCCAAAGTACTCCGGTCACTCCAGTTCTAGGAGTCCAAGATGTGTTGACATCCGGAAGCTCAGGTGGTGACATCCGCAACGCGGATGTTCGACTTCCACGATGAAGACTGGCGTCCATGTGGTGTTGTAGATGAATCATCTCCTCATATCCAAATCCAATCCATTCAGCCCATTCAACCCATTCGCCTCACACCTGCAGCCGCGTGCCGCGCGTTCTTGGGGGCACAGGAGAAATGGTGAGTGGCTGTGAAAAAGAGGTGTCTGTGGATAAAAAAGATACTTTCTAAACTCAATGGACAAGAGCCGTTTCCATCCACCATCGCCCTAGGAGTGCAGGAAAGACCATGTTTGAAGGGGTCTGACGAAAAGTGATCCTAAGAATCCTTGGGCTGTCCATGGCAGGAGTCGGACCCTCCATGGCAGGGGTCCGGGGCCGAAGCAAGCCCTATCTGTTGGTTCAGGAGCCCGGATTCTTAGGGTACTTCACTTCATTTCACTTATAACTGGTGTCAGAGTCGTCGCACTGGACTTCTTCACATAGCTTACAAGCTCAGGTACGACATCCAACCGCTTCACTCTGCCTTGCACTGCCCGCTTCACCCGCGCGAATCCATCACGTTGTGTTCCCTGGAATCGTTCCGCTGGGTGCTCGTTCGTGTAGCCGCGCTGCGCTGCTGCTCGAGGCTACCACCACCGTGGCGCTGAGCCCAAGAACCCCATCTCCGTTGGGATGGTCGAGCTGGGTCCCAAGGTGCCCGGCGTGCCGGCGGTGCTGCGGGAAACGGCGAGTTCGGCGTGAACAGGGGCGGTCGGGGCGCTTGCACACCCGAGGACGCCCAAGCCCGTAGGATTCGGGTGGTATACCATTGATTTAGTAGCCTGAATATGCCTGAATCCCGGAAGAATACCATTGGTTTTAAGTATATGTGACACTACAAAGCCAGGTCCTAAGCGTTTTGGAATCCTCATTTTGTTCCGGCGAAAAAGGAGCATCCAATGAGTGTCCAACCTGAGTGTCCAACCTGGTCGTTCATGTGCTTTTCATCCCGTGCGAGTCCGTTCCTGCCACGCCATGAAACGGGGGGGTTGTTGTGAACCACTGGTAGTACGGCCCCGTTCGTAGCGTCCTTGCTCCTTTTAGTAAGGCCAGTTTCGCCCCGTTCGTAGCTTTCAGGGGGGTGTTGTTTCCAGGTCCACGCCATGTCCAGCCAACCCACTTGCTATCAGCGAGCAATGGCGAGAGACCTCGCGGACGCGAGGCGTGATCGAGCGGCTTGCGCAAGAAAGCAGGGTAGCAAACAAGCCAGCCAGCCACCTGTGACACGCCAGCTGCTTCTAGCTGACGCTTCCAACGTGTGTGAAAGCCCACAATGGCTCCAGAACCAGATCATTTTTCAAGACCTGTTTTGCTGGTATTCAATAGCAAAAGACTGGAGAACTTGGAGAAACAAAAAGGCAGCAAGCTCCACTCAGTGATAGAACTGCGAATGGACAGTCCGCAAAATCACGGCAATTGTTTGCATGCACCTTGAGGCATGGTTTCAGGTTTGACAAACTGCACTTAAACTGCAGCATCGACTGCACAAATGGTGCGTTCGACACCAAAGCAGAAACGATGGAAACTTCGAGCTTTATTGAATATTCAATGAATGTTTAAGGTTTCAAAGCCAACATTGCCCATTGGGAGTTTACTAAACCATTAAAAGGTCGATGATTTGCAAGTGCCACATCTGTTTTACAGCCATAAAGTCACAGCAAAACTTCGGCACCTTGGCAACTCTGTTGCAAACCTGATTCCCTTCACCGGAACCCCAAACAAGACCCTAGTAGCAAGGACGCTACTAGGGTGGAGGCCATCGCTACTAGGGTGGAGGCCACCTTAGGATGGCCATCGCTACTAGGGTGGACACCGAGCCTGTCTTTCACCTCCGCACAGGAGGGCGTCCCAGAGATGGCCAAGCGCATGGCGCCGATCATACGCGATATGTTCGAGGTCTTCCAGGCGCCTTTCGGGTCTCACAGGTCTCAACCAGGAGGGCACTTTTCGGCCATCTCCTGCCTTCGGTCGTGCGGGACGGGTGCCGTCCCGCCGTCCCGTCGTCCCGTCCGCCGTCCTTTCGGTCACTTGGCTCTGGTGGGGGTTTCACCATGGGGCACGACGTTCCTCCAATGTTCGACCCGTTTGGGGTCGACGGGGTGTGTCCACCGGTGGTCTCCTTCCGCCGCTGGTTCCGGTCCGTTGGTGTAAGGGGTCCGTCTGGTCCGCTGGTCGACCCAATGACTGGATGGATCCGGGTTTTGGGGTGTCGGAACGGCTAAATCCGAAGGAATCAGATCTCTAAGCCATATCTAGTAGGCCTGGGAGTCCAGTCGACTATCAAAAGGAATGGTCTGACTAGGGGACCTGAGTGCGGGAAGTTCCTGAAAGCTTCAGCCGGTCCAAATATCGTCGAAGTGGACTTCTAGGGGATCTAGAGTTGATAGAAGAACCAACACCAGCGTCACCCTATCCGTCCGGTGACCCTTGGATCCAAAATGGTCATGAGATCACCATTCATGTCTCATGCGGGGGCCCTTCAAATGTCACCCAAAGAAGCAAAGGGCTCCCCATACACCGAGGTCGTTTTGGTCATGCTCAGGTGGCCAAGCCGGAAGTCTATGTGAGCCACTTCGAGAGAATGACTGGGAGCTCCAGCGGTTTCAATCAAACTGTGAAGGAGATTGGGGAAGCTGTTGTTGTTTCTTTCTTTTTCAGTGTGTCTTTTAGACAGGTGAGTGGATGTGACAGGGGCACACCGACTACCTCCATGGAGTCCGCACCCCATCGAATGTGACTGCTGGTGTAGAAGAACACACCTCCATGGATAGCTGGGTTCAGCATGGGGAGGCCTGATGTCGACGTGCTTTGCCGGGGGCAAACTGTAGAGTTGGGAGACTGTAGTGTTTTGCACCATTCCCTACAGGTCCAAAGACCCCGTAAAACCGGGTCCTGGAGGTCCTGGAAGCCTCCTTGAGTAGTGATTTTGTATGATCAACTTCAGTAAGACGTGATGTCTTTGACCTGTAGCAGCGGGTCATTTTCATGGAGCAAATGTACCGGAGACCCCACGGTCGGGGTGATTGATGGACACCCTGTTCAACACCACAAACAGGGGCTGCTCAACACCACAAACAGGGGGCCCTGGTATGTAGGGCAGGCCATGAAATTAAGTCACCACTCCGCTACTTGGTGTTGTTTTCACCCACCCCACACCAGCCCCTGATATCCCTCGGGATCCAGTCGTATTCTCAGGTGATGTGTACTACCCAGACGCTCCAAACAGCTCTTGGTCCCTCAAAACCCTAGGGATTGGTTCGGGTCCAGACCCCTACTTAGGAGGGTCCGGCCCCTAGTTAGGAGGGTCCAGGGTCGCGTCTGGGTACTCTGTTTGTTTGTAGGGATGTCATCGGAGTGGAGGACAGCGGCATACGGCGGTCAGAGGTCGATTTGGTGATGAGCTACAGGTCGATGTGGATATCCCTGCTGCATTTTGGGGGGATGGTGGTTCCCCCAGTCAACATGTGGAAAAAGGATGAAAAAGGATGAAAGGTTTGGTTCACCTGTCGTTTCCAGGGAAACGGTTTGAGAAAAGAAGGAGAAGGAAGAAACCCGTGCTGCCGGTCCACAGCATCGGACCCATCTTTTTCATCGACAAATAGGACCTGGCCGGGCATCGACCCCCCTGGAAGAAGGGAAATAGACCAAACTCCATTCATTCAAATCCTCCCTGTCAAAGTAGAGACCCACATATGGTGGCAGGGGAGTAGAAGAACCGGTGGCCACATGGAAGGCACCGAGTTATAATCCAAGTTCGATTGGCAGATCGTTGCACCGTGTTACGTGCAGCCACTCACAAGAGTGGGATCTTACTATGCATTTGCTTGGTGGTTTTCAAGCACTTCGTGCTGTTCCACCTTGACCAGTGCCCAGAGCTGATTCCTTCCAGTCATGAACATGGATGACTATCTCTCCGTCATGCAGCCGGTGACTCATCCACAGAGGTTGAAGGACCCTATAGGACCCTACTGGGGTAACCGAAGGATAGCCTATAGGCTTCTTCAACCTCTGTTGGCACCTGGTGCTTTCACCAGGAGATCTTGGACTTCCTCTTCGGCGACGAGGTCTCCGACCACTTCAAGCGCCGTGCACTGGACGCGGCGGCGCACGAGGATTTGCCGCTCGCTCCGCACGGAGGAGCGTCGGGTCCCAACGGTGGCAGTTCAGCACCCCGTTCAGCATGTGGCTGCGTATTTGAATAGGGGGACCCGGTTTGGGTCAGAACCGGGAAGTCTCCCTGTTTGAGCCACTCCATGGTGCTGGTTTGTACATTGACACATTGACCCCTTTTCAACCACCTCAAGGTAGGCATGTCATGTATTTTGAAGTGTTTAGGCAGTGAGGGCTGTGCTCGTGGGCTACATGTTCTCAATGTCCAGGAAGCTGAAGACATATGAGTCGAAGGCATTCTCGGAGGAAAAGCAAGGGAGTTTCTTTTGAATGAGCACATTGTTGTAGATAAAGTCTATCTAATGTCTTCTTGGATCAACAAGCATGGATGGCCTGACTCTGTTGGGTGTTGTTTTGAAAGCTGGGTATACTCTTCCTGGTCAAGAGAACGGAGTCTTGCAGGATCGAACGGAAGGACCAAAACTGGTAAGCCATGATCCCGGCAAGAAGCGAGTGCTTTGACACCGTGGACCCACCACCCCCGGCAGTCACCGGACCGACCGGACGGGGGTGCCAGCGGACCGGCCGGGACGGGGGACACTGAAGGGATTGGATCTAATGGTCCCAACAGAGGTGGTCAGAAGCCTATACCCTAGCCTTCAAAGACCATTAAAAGAACGGTTGAGCTGGTGGTGTAGTGTAAAAATCGTTAGTAAAACAATGGTTCTTTGGTAAAGACCATTAAAACAATGGTTGTTTGAATCCTAGGGTATAGGCTATCCTTTGGCTCCCCCAACCTCGCTATCCGGTCCTTCAAAACCTCTGTTGGTCGTCCACCAGTTGCGCTCCGAGTTGACAAGCGGACCGTTTGGGCCCATCGGTTCGGAACTGCCCCGGTGGGCCGGGAACTCAGGTCCGACTTCCGATTTGGCAAAAGGTCCATGGCACTCCAAAAGGGATTTCAGACATCCCATGGAATTGACTTCAGGAATCGGACATGTTTTTCATGGAGACTCCAACCGAGGTTGAAGAACCCTATAGACTATCCTGTAGCTAGCCCAGTAGGGCCCTAGTTCAGGTCACTTAACCTCTGTTGGCTTCCATCCAAAAGACCCTTTCGGCCAAGCAACGGACCCCCAAAAACGTCCAGGTCCACCACCCCGTCCCGGTCCCACCCCCTTAGGATTCAAACAACACCCCATGGACTTTTGGACGACCAGGAGTCACAGAGCTCGTTTAGTCGTCCCATCCAGGGGCAGTGGGGAGGTGACGTGACGGGGCACCCCTGGAAGAGGCGAACCGGCACCCCCTGCGGTCCGTCCGCACCCTGAAGCGGTCGAAGGTGACTGCAGGTCCCGTGTCATTTCGGAACAATCATGCCCTATAGGGATCCACTGCCACCTTCTCAGGTTCGGTACGACTGGGCCCGACCCAGGCACCTACATCAACAGTCTCCAATCACCTAACCTGAGAAGGTACGACTGGATCCCTAGGGATGAACTATCTGAAAAGCGTACCTAACGCTTCCTGTCTGGTGTCCAATGGAGGCCGAAAAAGTCGTGTAGGGTTGTCCAGTTAGGTGAGCCGTTGGAAGCGGCTGGTAGCGTCATCAAAAGATGTATCGAAACGTCATCCAAACGGAAACATGAACACAAAAGAGGCTGTGGGGACAGAATCGGAGCCATCAATTCCACATGGTTTCCACCATTTACGGCTTTGGGTGATTGCCTTTCACCTTCCCTTCAGTCAACGAGGGAATCGTCCCCGGTTTCCAGTTCAGGAACCGCGGGGAGGATGGCTTCAGCTTCTCCTTTCACTCGGAGGTTCCCACTGGGGCGGAAACGCAGCGGGTGATCCAGTCGTCTGTCCACCTTGGTGCTTCCCGGACGACGTCAGGCCCCACCATGGATTTTATAGTCTGAAAACCGAACCACCATTGTTTCACTAAGGATTTTTACACTACAAAGTCAAGTGGTTCCCTATTAAAAGAACCGCCGAAGGCTAGGGGGGTTCGGTCCTGAAGCCTTTCACCCCGGATAGCCGGCGCTGAACCCTGGGAGTGTTCATGCACGGCGAAGCTGTGGCCAGTTGGGGTGTCACAAAGGAGGTTTTCGGTGCCCAGTCTTCTGAAGACGAGCACGGCCTTGAGAGGCAGGTTCCACATGGTTCTGGGTCAAGTGAACACCGAAACATCTCGCATTCTTCATCCATGAGGCAGGGTCTGATCCATGCCCCCGCATGACCGGCAAGGTCTCCTTTAGCCTAAGCATGAATTCACATCGTCATGAAGTTACCGAGAGGCTGGTGTGTTCCAAAGATGGTGTCAACTTCCTGAATCGTCAACGACAGGTCAAAACACCGGGGCCGCTCTTACACTCCAATGTGGAAGTGTTGATTGATCAACAGTCCACATTCGGAAGCGGTTTTTTGCATGGCAGAATCGGAGGATCCTTTGAAGTAGATGACTCGAAGTAGGTGGAACCTGGTGGCAGGTCGCTACATGGTGGCCTCAAAAGAGGTTCCAATCTCGCGCAAGTGATGGAGCGCTTGCGGAGGGACCTTAAGAGGGGTCTTCTGTTGGTGTCACCTCATTTAGACGGTACTACCCTAGCCGTGGTGTACTCTGAAGCTTTGCCACTGTGCTTTCATTGAATCAATCGAAGAAACTTCTGCAATACAAACAAGTCTATTCACCAATCGCTTGCTCAGATGCAGGACATATTGCAGATGTTTCTTGCTCATGAAATAATTGTGCCAATGAAACAAACTTCCGAACAGCTCAAGAAACTTCTGAGCAGTTAAACAGATGGTCTCTTTTGTGAAGGTCCTTGACTTGTGCCCATGAATCATTCACCCAACTCTGCATTTGAGCAGCTGACCTCACGGAACACGCCATGCCGACGCGTCCTTCGACTCGTCCGCTCCGAGGCTGACAACCAAGTGAACCATACCAGCCCCTTGGACTTCGCCGGGGAACCGACGCGTGCGTCGTCCGTCCGTGTAACCGGTCGTGGGCCTGGCCGCGGATGACATGGCGCCAACCCCATGAAACAATACCCAACCAGAAGCAGTTCTGGTTCTTCCAATATGGCCATTAAGATCCTTTACACAAAGTGCTTGTTGTTTGGGGGAACCATCCATTGATTTAGACTTGGGTTTGGCAAGCATCTCATCCGTTTGCGGATACCGTTTTTGTCCCCCATCTCCGATCCTCCTTCTCCGATCGCGCACTCAGGTGATGATCAAGAACTGAATGAAGCACGGTCCTATTTGTCGCTGGTGGACCAGGAGCTGACCGCCTTAGGCTTCGCCGTGGATCGACCGTGGCGGAAGTGTGCGGATCGACGCATGGATAGAGCGATGGATCGAGTTCATAGTGGGCAATACCATAGATGGCATGTTACTGTTGGTTGGGTTGGTTGGTTGGTTGGTTAGTTAGGTGGCTGACAGAAGAAGGGACACCCTCAAGTGTACCACCCGTATATGCTACCATGAAGCGACCCCTCTCTTCTTCATCATGGCGTCTTGTGCCGGCCGACCCAGCACGAGATCTCCGCCTGGGTGTATCTGGCCCTTCGGCCGAACGCGGCGCCAGTCGACCCGCTTCGGAGCTTGCTTCGGTGGTGAAGCCGTTCGCTGCGCCGTTCGCTTCCTCCGACTATCCCAGTTGGGTACCCCACCCAGACACGACACATGGGACTGCCAGTTTGTGCTGATCAGGCCAGGGGTGGTGCCAGGGGGGTCTGTCTGGGGCGGCAGTCCGGACTGGTAGTCCCATGGACGTCGTGTCTGGGCCAGGTAGACCGGGTCCTAGTGTCACGATGCCAAGACCTCTCTTGGTGTGTTGGATGCCAAGCATCCCCACGGCAGCCGGTCTGAAGTCGAACTCGCAGTCCGACCACTGTTCGTGCGAGGGTCCTAGCCTAGATCCCATGAGAGGTTAAGTGACCTGAACTAGGACCCTACTGGGGTACCTATGGGATAGTCTATAGGGTCATTCAACCTCTGTTGGTCTTTTTCGAGTCCAGAACGGTCGACCGCAATTGAAGAAGATGGTCTGACGAGTTCGGTGACCGAAGTCTATACGGAATTGCTTGAAACCTGGTGGTCCCCCCCAAATCCTCAAACTGGACTCTGCTTCTCCTGCTTCTGGGCAAATCACACAAGTGGGCTTCAAGCCAAACAGCTTGGCCAGCAAAAGTCTTCTCCCTGGATGGCCAGCTTCGGGTTTTTTCTCACCCAGGAGCTTCTTGAAGAGCTCCTCCATTTCCAGAAGGCCCTCGGCTACCCCCCGACCGCTGTGAAGTAGCTCTTTTCACCCGCAGCACCCGGCCTCCCAGCGAGTGCGCTGGGGGGTGCGGTGGTATCGTGTGACTTCCACTCCCTGGAATAAGCATGGTCCAACGTGGAATGGGATTTCAGAGGACCCAAACTCCAAAAGACCTGTTTACAGGTCGCGACTCTTGGTGGGAGCATGTGGGGAGCATGCTCCACGTCAAAGGTTCCGTGGTTCTTCCAGGCAGTGTAGATGGTCAACAGGTTGCTGGAGCCCACTGAAGTCACAGTTGGGTGTCAGGGTCGTGGCTCGAAGCCAGCCGCCGATTGGAGAATGAAAACATCCGGCGTCTACTGTGGTTGACAGAAGGTGGTGAAAGACAGACCGCACCAAGCCCTACATGTCTTAGACCGATGGGGCTCCAGATCGACCACCCACCGAACTCGGGGGCCTCCAGACGTGCCAGGGTTGTTGTTTGGTCCTTTGTCCCCACCTGTCAGCTGAGGCTAGGTAGATTGTAGAAGAGGATCCCTCCCGTCTGCAGGGCCACCTTTTGCTAGTTCCAATGATCTCAAGGAGACGTGCAGAGTAGATCGAGTACACCAAATTCACACGATCACCGAACTCGGTGGCGTTTTCGATCCGGGTTGATGTGCCATCTACGACTAGTCCATACCGAGCTACGACTAGTCGGTCTGTCAGATCTGTACTGATTCCATAACTCAGTCTGTATACGACGAGCTATATTATATAATATATATATATATATGGTTTCCTCTGGGCATTGGAAAAGTAGGCATCCATCAACAGCTTGGTAACACATCAACAGCTTGAGCAGATACTGTCTTTTCCGTAACTCTCATGAGCTTTCCAAAAGAAGTGCAGGGATGTTCTCCATCACGTGCGGTTCGTCGCCCGGTCCACGGCTGGACGTCTTCATCGTTGGACACGAACGACTGACAGCTGTGAGTCTATCGAACGGCTCAAGCCCATCGATGCCATCGACCGAAGCCATTCGGGATGAGCAAACCCCTTCTGAACCCTTCATATGATGCTCAGCTGAAGCACCAAGTCGTGTGCGGAAGCACCAAGAGTTTGGCGGAAGCACCACTGAATGCACTGAAGCACCAGGCCCACCTGCCAGGGGGGAATCTGTTCGAAGGATCGCCAGGAGTGGTCTGGGAAGGCCTGGGTGGTTCAATTCTTCTCCCATCCGATGTGACAGCGGCACTCCTGGAGGAATGCTTCTCTTTTCTTCCGAAAGTAGGTTCTTCTCATCCAAAGTCGGACTGCTTTGCCACCATGTCACCATGTCACTCCTGTCCTCGGGGAGTCCTCGGCTGTCAACCCCCACAGTTGGACCGTTCGCAGACGAATGGGGTTCTTTGGAGCTACCCTCTTCCGACCACCAACCTACGACACCGCGATGGCCTATAAAAACCTACTAGCGATGCGCGCCACGAGCGACCGGTACGGCGCTTTCGATTCGACCCGGGTGGCGTCCTCGTGTCCTGGTCGATGGGAGCTTCCACGTCCATGCGACCGGGGGAAGCACAGCTTGGCCCGCTTGGTCCACCCTGGAAGTTGACCGGACCTGGCGACGTGGAGCTGTCCGTGGAAACCAGCCCAATTCGGCCCATCCAAAAGGTGAGGCTGCTTGGAAGCCCTGGGGTCAATCAATGAATACGAGCGTCTACCTGGCACTTCTAGACACGTATCCTGTTTGGAGACCTTATAAGCAGTCCAGCCAAGTGACCCCGACTTGGACATCAGCTGACTTGAGACCTCTTGGTGCTTGGACAACACCCAAGGTCTCAGCACCGGTCATTGTGATACACTCCAACAAGCAAACATGGCATCTTATTAGACATTAGACCCATAAGGTGATGGTTTATTTGCCCTATGCCCTATGGTTCATCCCCCTTCTGGTGAATATGTTGTTTCAAGGTGCCTGGAGGCAAATCCAAGAGTCACCATGAGTCACCTAAACCCTGGCAGGAGGACTGAAACCTGGTGTCGACCATTCTGTTCATGTACTGTCATCGGACTCCTGGTGTCCACCGGAACCTAAGTGCCAGCCATCTCAGCGAGCAAGTAGCAGTAATGTAAACGCTTGAATTAATAAAGCTCGCCTCTCATATAGTGATCCTCAAATAGATAGAAACGGTGTCCAATACATGTTTAGGGGGAGATTTGCTTTTCTGTCTATTTGGAGATGTGTATATTGAGGTTTTACCATCCAAACATGAAAGTTTTATGAATCAAGAGTCTCTGCATGACTTTCTCCACTCAGGAAATTGTCTTGGCTTCTTCCCGCACTGGCCCTGTCCGCCGTAACCTTCACTGCCGCCGCTGCAGAGCAACTGTGGCAGGCCGAATGTCACCACCTGAAAGAGGGCAAGTTGAAGACCCCAGAAACGACCCATGGGACTGCCATAGGACTGCCGCCCCAGACAGACCCCCCTGACACCACCACCCCTGGCCGTTTCTCGGCAGTCCGTCATGGCAGTCCTATGGCAGTCCCAGACGTGTCGTGTTTGGGGACTGGATTGCTTTTCAGACTGCCCTAAGAATCCGGGCCCGAACCAACAAGATAGGGTTTGGTTCGGCCCCGGACGCTTGCTAGGGTGGCTGCGTAGACGGGTCGATGTCCCTTTTCCCTCCTACCATGGTCGACGGGTCGAGGTCTTCGCGCTGGAAATCACCATTCACCATCGTCGGGGTGTCCGGAGATCCCAAACGATGTGTAGAATAGGAGTAGCCCTTGTTACGTAATGTTGACATAGGATTAAGTAACCACCCCCTATTAATCAATCCCAGCTCGACCCCTCCAATACTAAACTAATTGAAAACCTAGATTTCCACCTTGGCATCACCCTAATAATTTTTTGCCTGTGCAGAAACCTCCCCCTATTAATCAATCCCAGCTGCCCCCAAAAAAAAAACAATATTGTTTATTATTTAGCTAATATATGTTAATATTACATTCTTTTAGCTAGTCTCCAATATCTTTTATATGCTTTTTATGTTTTATTTTCTTTTGCTGGTATTCAGTATTTGCATCTCCTCATCTTCCTGGTCCTCACCACCACCTCTCAACTGCCTCATCCTGCTCACCAATCCTTTTGATGGCTTCTCCTCAGGTCTCATGCTACCAACCATCCCGCAAAACCCCAAAAACTCTCTAGCAAAAGTATTTCATTTTCCCTTATTAAAACTCTATCAAAATCTTAACTTTTTCAAGCTCACAAAGGGTACCCCTCACAGAGGCCCTACCCCCCCAATAGTAGGACCACCTCCCCCTATTAATCAATCCCAGCTGCCCCAGAAAAAGAAAAAACATATAGTATACTTTGTATGTGTAATTCTTTAGTGTTTTCTTTTTTGCTAGTATTCAATATCTTCATCTCCTCATCTTCCTGATTCTCACCACCCATTCCATCTTCCTCATCAGTTCACATCCTATCCCATAAGCTCCCTTGGAAAAACAACCCATGGATCAATCTAACATGAACACTCATCCAAAAGTTCTCATGTGGTTTCCAACTCTTCCAACATTTCATCCCAACTCTTCCAAATACAATTCCCTTTCATCTCAATTCTTCCAAATACTAATTCCCTTTCATCTCAATTCTTCCAAATACTAATTCCCTTTCAGCCCAATTCTTTCAAATACTAATTCCCTTTCATTCCAATTCTTCCAAATCAAAGTCCCTTTCATCATCAGGTCATCAGCTTTATTAGGGGGATGTGATCTCCAAAACCTCCAATCTCAAACCTTGTTGACCTTGTTGACCTTGAAGGGGGGAGGGGGGGGGCCGTTGATTAATCCTACGTCGAGATTAAGCTTAGCTTCTAGCAACCTCATATGTCATGGCCTCCAACCTAGCTTCGGACACCAATTGGATGGTCCAGGATTGCTTTTAAGCCCACACTTCCTGGTGCCGACCAGCCGCGAACCTGTGCGTTCCGCAGTGGCGTACCTTCGCGGGTTCCTCCCTCACCTCAGGCCGCGGGGGAGTTCTGCAAGGCCACCTGGACGAAGAGGACCCGAAGATCAGGTGGTAGACATGGATTGCATGGTGGTTCTCGTTGGAAGAGGAGGTTCCGAAGACTCAACAGGTGCTTTTCACTCACTCACTCCACGAAACCATGTGATGTCTTCGGAACCGAGTGCATGCGAAACCTGTGCTGACGAAGTGGAACATAGGGCGCTGGAAGACGAAGTTGAGAATCAAGCGATTGCAGAAGACAACTCATGGTGACATTGTCCCCTTTGAAACTTCCCAGACATGATCTGCAAAAGTATTATAGAACTTGTTTGCAGATAGAAAGCTCCAGCTTTTTTGTGTCCATGACATTGGTCACTTGGAGACCAATTGCCAACTGCCTTCTGAACGGGTGGACAAAAAGCCCTCTTCCTGGATCGTTGCCTGGGAGGTCTCCTGGGAATTCTGTTTTCACGCCCAAACAATCCATTGGTGGCGCCGACCTACATGAAAACCCACCCCAAAACCACCGTCGTCACGTCGGCCATGTTGGTCATGCGTTTGCGCCACGATGGATTCCGGGGGCAGTCAGTCGACCGTTTGCCCGAGCCAAGGACCAACACCAGCACGGCCCAGGGCTGTTTCAAACGTCTTTGGCCCGCCGCCACGCGCGGTCAAAGCCTGAAAATCCCCTGGACAAGTGTTTCGACTCGAGAAGTGGTCGACGGCCATCGCTAGTAGGTTGGAGGCCATCGATCTTAGGTTGGAGGCTGTCGCCAGTAGGTTGGAGGCTATTGCTTGTGGCTTGAAGTCTTCCCTTGGTATGGGCGCAGTTAAAGTGGAGGGATATGGAGGGAGGTTCTTTTCTTCCACAAGAGAATGGGAATTTCTATCCAACCCTGCAAACAAATAGACGTGGTTGAACCAAATGGATGATTTGTGGCGGAAATGGTGTCTTGGCTGGCGAATCGTTCCTCAGTTTTTGTTGCAGGGTCATGCGTTTATGGCCAAGCAGAAGCAAAACCAGCCCATTTGGAATCACCATGGAACCATTACTAAGCAGTGGGAGTGGAGGAAGAGGTCGAGCTCCGCAGCCGCTTCACTCCTTCGCGGGGTCCCGGCGTCAGCCGTCGCAAGCTGGGACCGAACCAGAAGGACCCTTTGAAGGGCGAGACGTGGCATGTCAAGAGAGGTAGGTAGCGAGTTCCGTGACCTGAAGGAGTCGGACCCTCACGAGTCAGTGGGGTACCCATTGTGCATGGGATAGTCGAATGAGTTCAGGTCCCAAGAGAACCTCTGTTGGTACAGAAGTTCACACACCAAGTCCACCAGCAACCAGTCACCGAACGACAGATGCTGCAGGGTATTCTACTTCTTCTACGCGTTCACCGGCCGTGGGATTCGAAGTAGCAGTCCTGCTACTCCGCGACTCTGTTTCTGTTGGGATGAAGCTGATGAAACCACGAGATCCAAGAGGAGGGCCCTCAGAAATGAGGAAAGCACACTGAAAGAAATGTTACTCTGACGCCATAGCGCCAAAGAGAGACCCACACCCAATATTGAAAATATAAACCTCGGGTGTACGAGAGCTGGTCTAGGAAAAAGTCGCTGAGTAAAGAACAATTGGCACGTCCAAAAAAGAGATACCTGTTACAGGAACCTAGTAGGTTGGAGGCCACGACTACTAGGAGCAAGGACGCTACTAGTAGGTCTTTGAAGCTTCTTAGTAACGTCTGAAGCTACGTCTGGGTGGAGGCCAGGTTGCCATGTTGGCTCGGTTGCCCAGACCTCCCGGGAGGAATCTACGGATCGGTACGTCCGAGGCGGGTCTATGTAACTTGCACGAGTCACAAAGCTGGCAGCCAGCTGCTGCGGAAGCTCAGCTGGCGAAGCGAAGCGAAGCGAAGGGCGTGACGGCGGGACGGCGATGGATCATCCAATGGAGTCATCAAAAGCCCCACTAAGAAGTGTCGTTGATCGTCCAGCTACCAGCACCTTCCAAGAGGAGGCTTTTGTATGACTTTTCCAAGTTGCAGGTGGTGACCTGGCAGGTTTCGGTCCTGGTGGAAATATCTCGAAGCCAAACCGGATGGTCCTGGAATGAATCCTCCATGCTATCATCGTCACTCCTTCTAACACCCCGGACATCCGATGTCGATGTCAGACACCGGTGTCCGACACCGCCGTTCCTCCGGCGGGTTGGACCAGGGAGACCCCGGCAACAACCATTCCCACCATGAGAGGTAGCCAGTGACCTGAACGAGGACCCGTCACCTGGAGTACCAAACTGGGATAGTCTAGTTCGGGTCATTCAACCTCCGTTGGTTCCCATAGGCCCAGTGGCAGGACCTTCATAGCTAGGGTGAAATGACCCGAGAAACCCCAGCGAGAAACGGTGAGTTTGGGAGCCTTTTTCACCAACATGTGGCAGGACCGGTCATCGGGGCCTCGTTCGGGGTCGCCTCTGGGTTGTTCAAACAGGAACGATCTGGTTGATCGTAGTGAAAAACAGCTGGTGGGCCACTTCTAGGGGATTTCTTGGGGGTCAGAGGAACTCTATCAGACCATGTCAGAGCGAGTTGACTCTGAGGTTTCACGTCAACTCGGTGACTATAGGAGTCCAGTCAACCTAATAGCAAAAGGAGCCTACAAGCGATGGCCTCCACTTTCTCTGAACGGAAGATCTGTGCCTTGAAGTCACACGACTTGGCTTCAAGACCTTGGCTTGAAGGCACGACGTGATGGGTCACAACGTTGCGAAAAGAACATATCTGCATTGTGCCCAATGATCCATTCACTTAGGGACGAAACACTCACGCTTGTGTGACTCCATGGTGATAGTGATATGCTCTTGAACAGAGTTTCAGCAATCGGTCCACCAGTCCGTGCTTTCCCCAGCCCGGGGACCAGCATGGCCTCCTCCAACCGTTCCGCCACCATGGGGCGCCAACGACCACCGGTGGCTCACAGGGGCACGGGCGCTCGCGATCCGCGTTCGCTCGCGGAAGGAACACCATGCGTTGGATCCTGGACCTTCTGGGCGCCCGGGAAGGCTGCCGGTGTCTTGGCTCGTACCGTTCCCTCATTCGTGCCGGGTCAGGGGGGTGTGTCAGAGGCCAGAAAGAAGCGACGAAAAGAGTGGGTTTTGGGTGGGTTTTGTGCATCCAGAGTAGGGCAAACAAGGTGACCAGATGTGCCAACTTGCAGGCAAGGATGGTTATACTTGTCTGTCGTTGACTCGAAGGGCAGAAGAACGATTTTGGTTCAAGGGACCCTTTATGACAGGATGGTGGGATTTGAATGGATTTGAGGCAAAGCTGTGGGGCAATGATATTGGGAAGACCACGCTGATCTCTTCAATGGCAGGATATATGGGTCAAGAGCACGCCCCGCGTGCCCCGCACGCCCCACACCTCCACTGAGGTTCGTTCCGCCCGAGGTTCGTTCGAGGTGTTCCGCCGGACGTTCCGGGCGATGCGGAGACTCGAGGTATGACCATATGGGACAAGAGTTCCTCACCCACGGCGTGTGGGATCAGGAGCGGAGTCCTTCACGGGGCCGCGTCAAAAAGGCGTCCAAAGGCCAAGAACAGGAGGGAGGGAGAAAGCAGAAGGTGATCGGGCGAAAAGTGGACATAAGAAGAGGACACATTTGGCAACAGCTAAGCTGTGTGGTGCGATGTTCCCTGGTCACCATTGATCACCTCAACCCCGTCGAAGCAATGCCGTCGGTCGCTGTTATCCCCGTCGAAGCGACCCCCAAAGTGGCCGTTCATTCCAAGCGCAACAGCCGGAAGCGCCCAACAGATCGACACTGGGCGTCTGAGACCTCAGACAAGTAGTGGGTTGTCCAGGTGATGATCCCCAGTAAGTTACGTAAGAAAGCAGCTGGTAGAGGTCGATTGAGCAAGATTCAGCATGCAATAATCGAACACATGATTGACCAGACGTGCCAGGACTATAGTCTGGAAATGTCTAGATCTGGAAGCCTCTTTTCCAAGACTACGGGAAATCCATCCCCACCTCCCTTTGGAGCAGGTGCCGAACATCCCTCATACCAGGTGCTTGCTTGCTTCGCTGTTTTCCATATACCCTGGGAGTCCAGTCGACTGTCAAAAGAATGGTATTTGGGCGACCCGAGTTCAGGAATGTCCTGAAACCTTTAGTCGGTCAAAATATCGTCGAACTGGACATTTCTAGGGTTATTGCAGACCCCCCAAAAAATCCTCAGAACAAAGCCTATCGGGGGCTAAGTTTACCACCGCGGATTTTCCAGTGGAACATTCACGGCACTTCGCTCGCTTCTTCGCGTCGAGGAGTGTTCCGAGCACCCAGCGAACGTGCGCTTCCACAACCACATCAGCGGCAAAGCGCTGCTGGAGCTGCGTGCGGAGACCGCGCAAACGGGCGGCTTTCGGGGAGTGCCTTGCAACGTGACGATGACCGAGCGTTCAGCCAAGTAAATAAATAGGACATGTTTAGGTTGGAGGCCATCGCTCTTAGGTTGGAGGCCACTGCTATCAGGTTGGAGGCCATTGCTATCAGGTTGGAGGTCATCGCTATTATGTTGGAGGCCATCGCTCTTAGGTTGGAGCCCATGGCCCATCGCTATTAGATTGGAGGCCATCACTCTTAGGTTGGAGGCCATCGCTAGTAGATTGGAGGCCATTTCTCCTGGGTTGGAGGTCATCGCTCTTAGGTTGGAGGCCATCGCTATTAGGATGGAGGCCATCACTAGTAGGTTGGAGCCCATCGCCAAAAGGTTGGAGGCCATCGCTCTTAGGTTGGAGGCCATCGCTATTAGGTTGGAGGCCATCGCACGGTTTAGCTGGCAGCTGAATATCAAAAAAAATCGGAGGGTGCGAGGTGGCAGCAATCGAAAAGCAGCAACTCCCGAATAGGTGATATCATGATTCTCTGACAAACACATCACATGGAAGTGGATGGCATGGTCCCTTGGGAGACGACTTTTCCTCTTGAAACGGGTGGTTTTCACTCTATAGTAGCTTCTTGTTACTATAGTAGCTATTTGCTCCTAGTAGTACGGCCAGGAGCCCCGTTCGTAGCTTCTTGAGTCAGAGTGTAGCTCTTCGGTGAGGCGAAGGTCCGCCTCGTCGAAACTCCTCGTCTTGTGGGTCACCCTTTTCGTCCGCCGGAAGCGATGAGAGTCGGTCCCCGGAGCTTTCTACCGCACAAAAGACACCGCCGAGGATGGCAGACTGCAATCTTCGGTTTCAACCGAAGACGACGATTCTGAGATGGTGTGAGTAGTTCGGTGAACCCAAAGGTTGGAAAGATCCTCAAAGCCTCGGTCGAACACGTCGAACAGGTCGAACAGGACGAACAGGACAGAGTGCCGATCATGTCGGGGGCTCTCCACCTCAGCTTCGCCCCACAAACAAGTCGGACCTGCGGTCGGGGGCTGCTTCAGTCGGTCGACCAGTCGATCGACTGAGGTGATGACCATTCGAAACCCCTTGGAGATGGTCATCTCCTCCTATTGCCACATGGATGGCTCGGTAGATGATGAGACTCAAGAGAGTCGGCCTCTTTTGGATGGTGTGGAAAAACATGGAAAAACCACTGAAAGATCGAGGCCTAAGGAAGGATTTTACTGGTGTCCTCGTAGACCCCGAGCACAAAGGGATGGTTATGTTAAGTCATATGAAAATTCCACACTCAGTGGTCTTTTGAAGAGGCGCGCTGCTCAGGGGGCAAGTTAGAGCGTTCAAACAAGTGGCTTCCAGGGGGATCTTGTCTTCCAAGTGGTGTTAGGTGTGGTTCACTCATGTTGAGCTGGGGTGCGCCATAGGCTCTGACTGAGCTGCTTGGTATCTCATAATTACTCAAGGTTGCTTGTGACAGGAGTTTCAAGCTAAACCCTATATTGGAATTTGTAAGCTAATCCGCTTGGAAGGATAATATAATATATACCATGTTTGTGGAAGACCCTTTGCAACCGCAAATCTCGAACCGATCCCTATCCTTCTTCTAGATGTGTGTGTGTGGCTTGTCATGGTAAATCCAACATTATGTGTTTCATTGAGAAAATCACCAACCTACCAGAAAAAATGCCGACCTTCAAATACCTTGCTCATGACACAGCTCATGTTCACAGTTGGGTTTCATGAGGATAGCTCCAGATGTTCTAGCTCATGGGCCACTGGACATTCCAGGCTTCAACTGGTCTTTGCTTTTGGGCGTCCAAAAGCAGATGTTCGAGGGGTTTGGGCCACCCATGAGACATCTTAGGACCCCAGACTGCCCCAACACGTCTCTACATTCGTAACAAGAAGCGCCCCGCAGCTAGCAGGGTGGAGGCCATCGCTCGATACGAGTTGATGACAGGTAGAAAGTCGGAACGCTTTCACTTCATCGGAACGCTTTCGCTTTCACTTCTTGATCTTGCGAGGATCAATACCTCTCGTAAAGTCTCCCAAATCTGCCCAAAGCAGCCGACATGGCTTCGCTCCAAAGGACCGTCCCCATGGCTCGACCGGTGGCTCGACCGAGAGGTTCGTTCTCAGACCGTCCGAGGCTACCACCATCGCGGCGCCGAGCCCTGGAACTCCATCAGTGACGGAATGGCCTCCATGCATCCCAAGGCCGACGAGCCGCTCGTTCGGGCCGGGAGCCCTACTCGCCATCCAACGAAACCGTGTGCGGCATGATTCACGAAAGAAGGCAAAGTAGGTGCCTTGCAAGATGAGTTCACTGTTCATCAAGAACTAAATGCACTAAATGTGTGTTTCTCCAGAAGTGCCAGGAAACTGTTGGACGCCTCAACTCCAGAAACCGCCTTTCTGTCTGAAGTCCTAAGAAAATGGTCCGAAAAAACGAAGCTCGCGCAGCCTCCGACGCAAAACGAAGCGCCCGATCTGCCGGCCAGGCCAGTTCAAAGAAAAGTTCCTTCACCCTAGGCTTCCAACAACCATTCATTTAATAGGCTGAATCCCGAATCAACTAAGGATTTAACTACAAAAACCAGGTCAACCTTTTCTTTATGGTCTTGGAAGTCTAGGGTTCATCTGCATCTGTCCGGATACCTCGTTCTTTCTGTCTTTCCAGTAGGGTCGAAGAAGAAAAAAATGCGTGGCCGAAAAGCACTTCAAATGAACTTTCAGGTCTTTTTTGAATCCGGTGGGAAAGAGAGGCCACAGTCTGCTTGATCCATTGCGCAAGCCCTGCGCAAGCAGGAGTTCAATACAGATCAGCTCAAAAAAGTGTCTTACCCAGACTCTCCATGAAAACAGCCCTTTCCTGGTCCCGAACCAAACCGGGATTGGTTCGAAGGTCCAGACGATTCGGGTGCGACCCCCAAAGGATTCGGGTCCAGGATCGCGTCGATTCCTGCGCCAAGGTTTCCAGGAATCGAAGACGCCTGGGCTACGCTGTGCACAGAGTGCACAGTTCAGGTACTACCTAAAAACAAATGGATGTTTCCCCAAACAGCCATTTCCTATGTAAAGGATTTCAATTGCCATATTGGAACAACCATTTGTTTCTGGTTGTTTGGGTTTCCAGGTACGGATTCAGTCCGGGCCTGGGTCGCTGTCTGCCGGAAGGCACCCAGTGCCGCTCCGAGCCGCTGTCTGCCAAACCGCGCACGTTTGCGAGGATGGCGTGCCCGAGATGGCCAGAAGGATGCTGCCCGTCGTCTACAACATGGTCCAAGCCTACCAGGCGCTGGGACGCCGCGGGCGCGGGCCTTTGGGGGAGGAGAAGGGGATGGAAATTCCAGTGGTATGATGTTGGTGATGTGGTTTTTCAGTCTCCGCATGGTCGCTGGTTGAAGTCGCCGCCTGCGACTCGCTGGTTGTGTCCTTCGCTTCGCGTCGCGCAGGTGACGAAGCCGGAAGTCTATGTGAGCCGCTTCGAGAGAATGACCGGTTCCTCGACCGGTTTCAATCAAACCGTACAGGACACTGCTGGCGGCGCGACCGGCGTAGTGGCAGTGGTGTGAAAAACGCGTTGTTGGGCGAAGGGAAGAGAAGTCAAGAGATGAAATCGGAGTTCAAACCAGGAGGCACCAGGAACAAGAAGCTACGAACGGGGCTCCTGGCATCGCTACTAGGGGCACCAAAGGGGGTGGTGTGCCTCGTCCGTCAGTGGGTGGATGTGACAGGGACACCCCGAGTTCCGGCACCCCCTCCCGACGGAGTCTGCACCCCTGACCCAACACCGAGACCGGCCCCGAACCAACTGCTACACCCAGACACTCCATACCTGGATCTTCCAACGACGTGCCCAAGCTTCTGCCTTTTAAGCCTGGTTTGATGGATGAAAAGGCAGAAATGGCCTGCACGTCGTTGGAAGATCCAGGTATATGCTTACATTGGGGTGGTTTTTGGGGGGTCAACTGATCGGCATACATGGCAGTCCCATGGAGTGTCTGGGACATATTGCTTCGGTCCCAAAGCCGCTGCTAACGGGTTGGGTGCTGCCACTGAGCTGGTTGGGAAGCTTGAGGCCGAATCGCCCGAAACAGGGCCCAAACAAGAACATACCATGACCAGTCACCCGCCCCAAGAATCATCATAGCAGGGCCCCCTGGCAAACTGGAGTGTTGATTCCAATGGCCCTTAGCCGCCTTTTTGAAGGCGATTTAAGGAGCAATGACCTGGATCCTCCTGGTCTCCCCGAACCAACCCCGTTTGGGTGAAATCGTGTTCAGGGCACACAGGAGAAGGCCGAGTGCACTCACCGAGCCGACAGGAATGCTTGGGAGCCATGACAGTCGGAGATACTGCTCCGGCCGAGTGGACGACTCGGGAGCCACAGTGGTGTGGTGGAAGTGCTCCAAACTCAGATCCAACGAATCGGTCCAGGTGGGTGTCGTCCATTGGGAGACCCAACCGGATGTCTTCCAGCTTTTTGGGAGGGTCTCTCTATAGACACCTGGGTGTAGCGAACCCAAATTCTCCAGCTCCCAGATGAAGGTCTCCTCTATCTCCCAGGTCGCGCAGGGCACCGGTGATTCACCTGGTGCTTTCGCCAGGAGATGTTGGACTTCCTCTTCGGCAACGAGGTCTCTGACAACTTCAAGCGCCGGGCACTGGACGCCGCGGTGCATGAGGATTTGCCGCTCCATCATGCACCAGGGTGGGTTTTTGTGTATGTGTGTGTGTTCGGGGGAGGTTTTTCTGTCGAAAGGACCTGTTAGATGATGAAGTTGAGGGAACTCATCCTGAAAAAGAGGAAAGACTGAACTGAGAAAAGAAAAACGAGGTAGGGATCCATCGCTACTTGCCAAGGGAGGAGAAACAAAAAGAGGCGCCAAAGAGAGTTAGAAATCACTAGATCCCTATATGTGTCTCTTTCCTTTCTTCTTTTCTTTCTTTACGTTCTTTTCTTTTGTTCCTGAACAAGAAAACATAAAAATCATAAAGTAGGACCTACAGAAAGAAGGACAGGCAAAGGAAAAGGGAAAAGAAAAAGAAGTTCCTATATCGATGACGTCAAAGAATCCTGCAGCCTTGGGCCCCGCAACGCAAGGGCCAGGCCATCCGTAGTCAGCCAATCCGTAGCGTCCGGGGATCGCAGTGTCCGGGCCCCGAAAATCCGCACCGTTGTTCGGCCCTTCTTTCGGACCTCTCCGTGCTCCCACCGAGAAGAGAGGGACACATCCGACAACAAAAAGACACAGGGAACGGGGCCATGAGAATCAAATGCCAGCTGTGGGGCTTACAACGGCACCAGGATTCCCGTACAAATGAAAGGATCGTACAACAAAATGACTGGTTCAGGTGCCGTGAAACACACACTCCGTGATACACGTAGTGGGTGAAAACGGTGTGGCCACCAACAGAGGTAGCCAGTGACCTGAACGAGTCGGACCCGTCACCAGGGGTACCGAACTAGGATAGTCGAACGTTCGGGTTGTTCAACCTCTGCTGGCAGTTCGACTTGTTGAGTTTGTCAAAGGAAAAGTCCCAGTAGTCACATCGCTCGGGGTGGTGTGGCGTTTCGTCGTCCCATCCGGTACCGGGGCCGGTTCCATGTGACGTGCGTGAAACACCCATTTCTCCCTGTCGGTCCGTCCGCACCCCGAACCGGTCCGGTCTGGTGACTGCGGGTCCATGAAAGGTCCATTTCTCCCTATCCTTAGTAGTAACAAGTGCATCGCTTCTAGTAACAAGTGCCTTACTGCTAGTCTACAAGGTTCGCTACGAACGGGGCTCCTGGCATTCGCTACGAGCGGAGCGATCGGACGCTACTAGGTTGAATGTGTTCTCAATGGACTCAACTCCGATGGCCCCATCGTCTCAGCTACCAGGAACCGCGGGGAGTTCGGCTACTCCTTCACCGTGCGGAGCCGAGGATCCGCGCGCGGAAGCGTCTCACCCACCAGTGAGTTCAGGGTCCAAGAACGGAAGAAAGGACCACCAAAAACTTTTCCAAAGCCCAGGTCTGTACAGAAAACAGATGGTCGAACAGAAAACAAATGGTCGCCTATAATCATAGAGTATACCATGGTATACCATGGTATACCTAGATCTTCCAACTATTCAAAATGTCTGCACAGTTGGAAGATCTGGGTCTGTTTAAGCTCAGACGACTTGGCGGCTTCGCCGAGATGAGTCAGACGCCTCCGAACTCACCGCGGGTGGTTTGAGGTTCATCAGATGGTCCGTGGTAGATCAACCCCTCAGTTGTCCGGGATGCCGAACATTCCTGACATGTTCTGGCTGTCTTCAGTGATGCAAGCTGGCTACTGATTGTGTTCGGCTAAAGAGGGTCATGGTCCTTTTGATGTCTTCTGATGTTGAAGCTATAAATGCTTCCTAGTGTGTTCCTCTTTTTCAGGTGGATCCTGTTTTGGGCTAAAAACCTGTGAAACAGCCCAAAAAAGAAGCATGTAGTGCAACAATCAATAAATAGCACGCAAAATATGGACCAACATCCTTGGAATACAGCAATCACCATATGAGTTTCACTGAAAAAAACAGATAGAAGACCGTAGGGCGAAGAATCTATGACTATAGGAGGTCAAATGCCAGTGGCCCCAACACCCGCAAGGGAGTTTTTCTTGGCTGCGCATCTTTACAAGAACTCCCTGGTTCTAAGCTTTCTGACTTCCATCAAAGCGTATACAAGCAGCAGCCTCAAGTGAGAATAGAGTCTTGGACTTTTCTGTTCCCCGCCCTTGGCGGCCTGGGAGACCTCGGTGGCCTGGGAACCCCGAAGAACCGGGACGTGGATGGTTTGCCCGAAGGGCCCAGGGACGAACGGATCAGCACTCGGAACCGATGGAGAGACCTGTTGATCTGCCCGAACGCGACCCGCCCCCAAATCCTCGGGTCAGGGGTTTGGGGTTTCGAAGCAGTTTCACGGCCAAACGGGAGGAACTGTTCGTCCGGCCCAGTTCGTTCATATGCTGTTCACCCATGTTCGGTGCGTCCACGAAACGAGGAGGAAGCCGATTGATCCGCACAGGACCGTAGGACTGTAGGACCGGACTGTAATCTATAATGATCCCCAAATCAATTGAAATGGTGTCCAATCATGTCCAATACATTTTGAGTGAGGATCTACTTTTCTATCTATTTGGGGGTCTATACCAGGGCCTTCAAGGGGTGGTGAATGGACACCCCTTAATGGCTAAGGGCCTATAAATAGACACCCCTTGGAGGGTCCTGGTATAATATATATTATCTATATATACCTACGAGCTGCTTCCAACGGGTCACCAATGGACAACCCTACCCTACTTATAGGTCTCCATTGGGCACCCATTGGAAGTGCTCGGTAGATCTTCCAACTGTGCAAATTGTGTACCTTTTAGTTGATTTAATGGATGAAAAGGCAGAAATGACCTGCACGTCGTTGGAAGATCCATATATATATATATTATATACATATTATATGCAATATACCAGGAGTTCCACTTGAAGTTTCATGTCGGGGTGGCTTTTTCCGTGACACCGGTACCTGGTCGTGCGTCCGGTTCGGTACCTCGGCCTTTGGCACATCGAGGATCACACCAACGACGTCAACCACACGAGCCACTCGAACCAGACGGCGAGCCACGACCAGTTCGGTTGGACGAACTAATTCGACTATCCCAGGACTGGGTACCCGTCCGACTCCTTCAGGTCACCTACCTCTCTTGACATGCCACGTCTCGGTGCTTCGCTGTTTCGCTCGCTCGTCGACCGGGTCAGGGAACCGGAACCGACCGGTCGGTTTGCGTCGGATCTGCGAAGTGGAGGTGATTGTAGCGTCCTTGTTACTAGTAGTAAGGCCAGGAGCCCCGAACGTAGCTTCTTGCTCGTAGCGATGCCCTTTGCTACGTTCGTAGCTTCTTGTTACTAGTGGCGATGCCCTTTGCTACTAGTAGCTTCTTTGCTACTGAGGTGATGAACAAGAAATGGACGAAGCCCGGTCCTATTTGTCGCTGGTCGACAAGGCTTCGTCGGTTTGGCAGGGTCAAGTCGTTCTTTTTTCCGGCGCGTCAGTCGGTGGAGCTGCAAAGAGATTCGTCTTTAACTACCAAGATCATCCTGTCTGGGTGTCCCGTCTGAAGGTCCATATGTAGTGCCGGGTAGTCTATTGGTGACCCAGACAGGATGATGCAAGTATACGGCCTATTCCTTTTAATGTGCTTCAGCAGGGGTCGGGGCCCTCAAAACCCTATGTGTTGGTTCGGGCCTGGATTCTTAGGGTCAAAGGCAGGAAGCCTTTGGATGAATTTGACTTGTTTTTTCCCTCCGCCGAAAGGAATGAACTTTGCATGTGCGTGAGCTATGAGGTTCTACAGCTTTCATGTGGTTCTTCTCACCTCGATCCCCACCTCCACCAGACCTTTCTGCACGCGGGTCAGGGTCTGGCAGGGCACACGTGGTGGATTTCAGGGTCTGACAGAGCTCTTCCCCCAGCCGACCGGAAGAAGTCCGCGCGACCGACCGGACCCCCAAGGAGTTGGGCAGGGGTTTTGGGGGGGTTCTGGGGTCGACCTCACCAATCCATAGATCTTCCAACGACGTGCAGGTCATTTCGGCCTTTTCATCCATCAAACCAGCTTCAAAGGCAGAAATTCTGCACATCCGACCGGAAGATCTATAGGTATAGCCGGTATAGCGGACCGGGGATCGACCTCACCGACGGGGCCAACGGTTCACTGGAAAACAGCGTCGACTCCGTCGTCGGAGTGACGAAGGTCGCCGTTCGGTCGCAGCGACCCACATGGCCTGGTCGGTGGAAAGGGTGTCGCGCCAGGCTGAAGGGGTGAAACCTCAAGATGTGTTCAGTGGATTTCAGGGGAAAAAATGGGATTCAAACATCCGAATGACTCTGAATGTTTCAAGTCTACTTTCATAGGTTCGATAGAGAGTCTCCCAGGGTTCTTAGGCATCAAACCATACTTCAACCTCTCAACGAATCCACAACTTCGGCTTGCCCTCCACAAACCGCCAGTTTCCGGCCACTGCACACACCACTGCACGCGCCTCTCGACCTTGGGGGTAGGACCTGATGGCGCACTACAAGGAAATGCAGAAGGCCCTCGGCTACTCCACCGAGTGAGCTGCCACCCGTGAGCTGCTCCTGCCGGCCGCAAGTGTCTCCCAAGTGGGAGACGTCGCGGGGTCCGCCGGGAATCTCTGCCCAAGACCGTGACAGCGATGTGGTGGGGAAGGCTTTCTGGGTTGGAAGGCCAGCTGGAAGTGGGGGCCAGCTTTGGGCAGTTGGGGTTTTCGCCAGACGAGACCCGGGACACAAATCCTTTGGGGTCGCACCCGAATCCTCTGGAGGGAATAGTATATCCAAAGGCCAGAACGCAGGGAGCCAGGCTCCCCCAAAAGGTGCCTCGCTCAGTCCACGAGTCAAAGCCGGCGAAGCCCGGCGTCCAGCCCTTCCTGGCCCATTCCTTCCCCACGACCAGCCCGAGCTGTTTCGCGCGACCGGTCGGTGTTCAAACGCCTGTCCTAGACACTTATAAGCTTAGATAGTGCCTTACTACTATAGGAGCAAGAAGCTACTAGGAACAAGTGCATCGCTTCTAGTAACAAGTGCCTTACTAGTCGTAACAATGTTTGCTATTAGAAAGAATAAATAGATAGAGGTGAGGAACGGGGTGTCCCAAAACCCGGACGAACAGTGTCGGTCCTCACTTTCTCCCTCGAAAGCGAAGAAACTGATAGCTTCTTGTTACGAATATTGACTAATAGCAAGAATACTACTAGTAGTAATGCCCTTTGTTACTAGTAGCGTTGCCCTTGTTACGTTCGTAGCTTCTTGGTCCTATAGTAGTGATGCCAGGAGCTACTAGTAGCGTCCGACGCTCGCTCCGTTCGTAGCAACGCCCTTTACTACGTTCGTAGCTTTTTGGTCCTACCAGTAAGGCTTAAGAAGCAGCTTGGAACGGTCGGTCGCAGATGTTCTTCCAACGCTGCCAGCAGCAAAAAGAGGTGCGCAGCGGCTGCCGGCCCGGTTGGACCAGGTGGATGAGGAGCTGCAGAGACCAAGTCCTGACAGAGCGCCCCGCTAGGAAGCTCTGAACGGGCTTCAGGATGCAACGAGCCAAAGCCACGAAAACCCCACGGTTTGCAACGGAGCGAGTGAAGCGGCTTTTGGTTGACGGGATGTGGACTGTAGTGACGTCCTCAGGTCCTCAGTGACCCGGTCGGGACCAAGGTGTTGAACGGACGACCCGAGAACCGCCGAGGGTCGTACGCCTCCCTCATCTCAACGTCCGTCGCTGGTGCCCAGCGATGCCGTTTTCGTCGCTGGTCGCCACGTGGGACGAGGAACAGGATGTCGGGTGAAGGTGGGAGGTCCACGACCCATCCCCCAACGGGTTCACCTATTGGACCTCCCCAAAGGCTCTTCTCCACTAGAGAGTCAGTCTCAGGTCCTTGGGCCCATCCCAGGGCCCATCCCTCTCCCCACGTGCTCCCAGGTCTGCACCTCCGCTGCTGGTGTGCTGCACCTACCGTCCAGCAGCAACAAGTGCAAGTCAAAAAGGGGCGACTTTGAGAGAAACTGTCAAGATTGACGGAAGACGACACTATACATTATAAATTAATACCAAAAAGATGGACGTAAGACCTTAAGAAACGATACCATGCTCACCATGCTCACCGAATCCTTCTTTTGATTGAGTCATGATTCTTGACCGTGGTTCATTTCAGAAAGCTGCGATGGCAGTCCATCCCAGACCTGTACACAAGATTCACTCATCTTCTGAAAAAGCTTGTACAAGTGGATCCCGAAGCTTCGGCATTATTGTTTGCCGGAACCACCGGTCCGCCGATCCAAGAAACGCCTCTGGCCCAAGCTCCGCAGGGAGCTTCATCACCGCAACACCGATTCACAGCGGTTTCGGTCTGGCAAAACCGTAAACCTGACAGCTCAAACACCGAAACCAAAAATTCAGGTCACCTGCTTGCGGACCAAAAAAACACGCGGCCCACGAATGACTCATTATATACCAACACCGACTTCAGGTCGGTGACCAATTGAAACCTCTAACAGGGTCTTTCCCACCCAACCCTCCATGCAACGGAGACCTGTTGGGTTCGGTGCTGGTATAGAAGCAACATAGCTCTGAAGGACAGCACACCCGCACTCGACACACTCGTGGCGTCCCCATGACGCTCACACCCGCTTTCTTCCATGCCCCGCACACAGCGCGGTCGGCGCCGTGGGCCAAAGATGTGACCCGGTGGGAACGGAGACGCGACACGTCGACGAGACCATCGGACTGGCAGTCCCAGGTGTCTGGGTGTTGTCTTCTGCATCCAGGTCCGTGTCCGAATCTCTGACCGCAAGAAGCTAGTAATCTCTGGGCATGACTACGAACGTAGCGTGTCCGAATCTCTGACCTCCTAGTTTCCGAATCCGCCATTGGGCCCAACCCGCTGGAACGAGTTCGCTGTTGCTCACAGGGGCTCATCACAAAACATAGCTTATCATATATTAATTAATATATATATATACATAATATAGTATATACACTATATACATGCAGTTAATGTGTGCTGAGTGTGTTATTATTTCGGTGATGTCTTCGTGGGGCGGACTCGATAGTTGTGTATGGGAGGGATGTCTTGATGTTGACCACGATTGGTTCGAGCAGCCCTCTTGATTTATGATCATAACTATATAGCAGAGCTTTGGGGCGAGGTTTTGGTGAGCTCAAAGAGGACACTGTCTTATCTAGGTGTTTTGATCATAACTCTTGATATCAACTGCTTCGGTTTTTTCCTCAGCGATAGTCCCTCGATAGTGATAGCTATGGGGTTCTTACTTCAGAATGAGAAGCCCATGCCCGCTTTCGAGACACGCTGCCGGTGCTGGGTGCCGGTGCCGGCGCTGGGTGCTTGTGCCATTGGCTGTGTGCACTTTGAAAATAGGGTGTGGTTGCGGGGTACTGGTGCTGGTCTAGGTGATGGTTTCGGATATTTTCAACCCTTACTTGGGGATGATTGAACCCTCTGACTCATATTTGTCCTTCGTGGGTGGAAAACACCAACCAGTGGTTTCAACGCGCCATCGTGTCGGTGAAGCCCGGGAACTGCACAGCAAACGCGCACAGATGTCGTGGTATGCAGTTGATAGAAATATGCACATTGCAATACACATTGTTTTCATCGGGCAATACACATGCAGCAGCATCTTTAGTTTGTTCACGTTCGGATCCAAAGGCTGGTGGAGAACGCGGGGACCTCCAGTGCCATGTTTCGAACAGGCTGGCCTTTGGCTTTGCTCTTGCGGCTATGTTTGAAGGCTTGCGCGCAATGCTTGTGAAACCTAGGAGCTGTACTGTGTGCGCACATCTTTTTGTACGTGCATGTGTGTGTGTGTGTGTGTCACACTCTGTATCTAAGAGTTTCTTCCACTCAAATGTTTTCGAGCAGGGGGCATGGCAGCTGTTTCCCTAGCCATGCCAACGAAGCTATGGGATTCAGCCGGAAGGGAATGTGGACGCACATTCCTGTACCTGCGACTGAAACTGTTTTCCACGCTGTGACTCTACTTCTCCGTTTTTTGATTTCATGGTGGTTCTCCATGATACTTCCCCCAAACCCACTTTCCTGCAGCTGAGCTCGCCGCGGCCACGTTTCTGCAGTCACACGAAAAACTGTGCTCAACATTCAAGTTGAGCTGATCTTGCGCCTTTCCGTTCCATCACCTCTTTCGACTTGGGAACTGAGCTAACTGAAAACCAATGTCAGAGTGTGTTTGTGTGTGCGCGCAACATCCTGTTGTAGTGTTTGCGCGTATATGTTTCCTAATATACTGCTACAATCTTTTCCTCGCGTCTCCCCACTTGCTTGCCTGTCTGATTGGCAGTTTCTTGGGCCCACCCGCGGTCACTGGAAGCTCTCATGGGCTTTTCTGTGACCTAAAGAAACTTGCCTTTTTTTGCCCACCCGGTGTTTTTTTTCGAATCAGTTGCTCTCTGGGTTCTATGCTGGTAGTTGTTGTTGCCACCGAAGCTCCGGGCAAAAGGAGCAAGGAGCATCGATGTGTCACCAGCTGGAGGGTTAACTCGCCACGTTGGAAGCCTCAACGGCTTGGCGCCGAACCTGTGGTCGAATGACCCAGAGCTTGCTCCAAAAGGCCGCCTGGCCGAGGAAGAATCGGATCAAGCACTGGTCAAACTCTCCCTCAATCCGGTGATAGTCGCTGGATTGGCCAGTTCAATGTGCATTCCACAGCCGTAGCGCCAACAAGACGAAAGGATCTACATCTTCAGTCGCACATCGCCTGTCCATGAAGAAAGTGGCCAGGAAATATATCCCCGGCAGCAACTATGGATCTTGTTTTGGGCCCATGGTGGCACCAAGCTATACGGACAAGACCTGCTGGCGATTGAATGCTGATGAAGAAACAACTCTATGGCAAGGATTGCAAAATCTTTGTGGGGGGTGCGTCGCGTGTGATGATGCACCCCCAAAGCCAGCCTGTGACGATAGCAAGGAAGCATGCTGGCACTTCATGAATCCAACAGTCTTTGGCGAATTGTTTCACAGCTTTAAGCCGAAGGCTCTGGTCAAGATGTCAGATGTGGACCACACAACATGGGCACTTGTTCGTCTCGCCTCACGGCTCGTATGCCGCTCAGACACACATCGCTCCAAAGATCCCAACCCCAAGCTGACATGATCGGCTCACGTCGTCGGCACGCTGCGAAAGAAGTCACCGTGGACTCTCTCGATGCTCGCACCAAGGCCCGCGAGCGCACGGCACGCACCACGTGCACGGCGCAGCCCGACGGCGCCCCACCGGACGTGCCACGCCGCCCGGCCGCCGCTGCGCTGGCCGCGCTGGCGCTGGGCGCGAGAAGCCGCGCGAAAGCCACTGGTTTAGGCGGTTCCGCGATCGGAGCTGGGTTCAAGATCAGAGATGACCACCGAGTTGGGAGTTTTTCTAAGGTCAGATGTAAGAATGCCAGAAGGGATGTCTTACAAGCCTGTGTTTGGTATAGTTTTATCCCCACTTGATTGATGTGTTCGATCAATATGAAGATTATGCCTATGTTTCATTATTATATGTTCTATTCTATTGTTTCAAAAAGGTATGGTTGTCTATGTCAAAATATACAATGTTTGGATCACTTTAAGTCTGTATATTATTTCGTCATTTTTGTCTTTAAGAATGTAATCCCACAAATCACTGTACTTGATTGATGTCCCACTGCATGAGGATTGTCGTCTATGTCCAATCCAAGATGATTGAAGTGTGATTGTTGACCGACCTTTCTCAGTGGCTATTGATTCTACGAAGGGGCAAGCTATGGCACAGGGCTCGAGAGCCAAACCTCCCTGGTATGTTGTGGTATGTCGTGTGCGTCGAGTGAACATGGAGTTGGTGGCCCCGACTTCTTCCACTAGTCATGATCAACCACAGATCACCCTTTTGCTCGGATGAAGAATCGTTGCTGCGGTCGGCATGGCGAAAGCCACGGGCTCAAACCATGTTATCCATATGTTGCGGGGATGTTGCGGGGTAAACACATGGAGAGTGCCAAGGAGTGCTTGAGAAGGTTGTTCCTGTCTACAGCAAGTTGTTGGTCACTGCAGATCATGTCGAAATCGATTTGTGCACCTGACATGGCGTACATGGCTTTTTTACTTGGCAACGTTTTTCTGTGTACGAAGACGGGTCTCTTTCTTTCAGCGGGGGATTCTGTGTTCAGACTTTTCTTCCACCGGGATTCCCATTGTACACCCCTGTCCCCCGGCGGACGCCTGTTTTCAACGAAGCGCAGGGACCCGCGAGACCCCGACTGAGACTCGCTGGTTGCAGCAGTCCCTCGCCGAGCAGTCGCGCAGTCGCGTGGTCGACGGAGACGAGTCGGTTGATGCGGATTGAAGGAGCTCCACCAGGAACAAGGTTCGCTACTAGGAGCAGAGGGCATCGCTACTAGGAACAAGGACGCTACTAGGGGCTCTTGGCCTTACTACTAGGAGCAAGAAGCTATTAATAGAATTAAGTTTAATTACAGTTCCAATGTTTGCTGGAAAAATGGGGTCATCCGCCACACAGGTCACCATGGATGATTCATGGGAGTGTACCAAGGCACTCACACGGATGTTCTTCCCTCAGGAAGGTTCTCTGCAAGCTACCATCCTTCTAGAATGTCCAGCTCGACTCAGTTTGGCACCATCGAAGCAAAGAAGTTTCCTCTTGGGGGCACCGGGAAAACAGAATGGTCATGCACTGTATAAGTAGCTTCCTGTTACTAGTAGTCATGCCCTTGTTACTAGTAGCAAGGCACTTGTTACGTTCGTAGCTGGAATCGACCACTCAACTCCCAGGGGTTCAACTCCGCTTTGAAAAGCACACAAACCTTCGCACCCCCCTTTTTTTGGGGCATCGCTGTCCGTCCAGCGATGGACCGTTCGCCTTCCTCGTCTCGGAGAGTCCGACCGCCTCCGCACATGTGCCGTGGGCCGATCCGAACTGAAAAAACGGGGCAAGTGCCTCTCTGACTCTCTCCCAGCAGAGGTTGAACAACCCGAACGTTCGACTATCCTATAGGCACCCCTCTAGGGTCCTATAAGGTCACTTAACCTCTGTTGCTCTCTCTCTCTCTCTCTTCCCATCGAGGCGATTGGAAGCGTCCTCCTTGCAGAGACCCTCCTGGGGTCTCTTGGGTCACTTGCCACGCGGTCGATGCCACGTCGATGCGCCGCGGATGCGTGCTTCGAATGGGGTGTGGTCAATTCGGCTGTCCGAAGCAGAGGACAGGAGTGTCGTCAGAGAAGTGGTTGATTTTGCTCGCTTGCATGCCCCCCATTGCTACTGGATCTATATCTATAGTAGTCAACTTGCCCATTTTGCACGCTGCCCCGCTTGTTTCTCGTTTCGGCACGTTTTGCCCGAGGCCAGGCCTTCCCAGCGTGGCTCTTTGGTGAGTGGGAGGTTTGCGTCTCGGACCAGTGGGGGACGCTCCTGGCCGCAAAACAGACCAGGGAAGAGGTCGAGGGACACCCTGAATCACCGGGTGGGACCATTTTTGGGTGTGGAATGAGATTGTGTGAGGGCGTGGCAGCAAAAAGCCACGGGCTCCTTTGGGGAGTTGTTTTTTTCTCCATAGCTTCCGAAGAAGAATGTCATGTAATAACCTAGAATTTGGGGAATGGCTTCTTGGTTCAAACCGGGAGAGAACTTCTTGATTTCGAGATCCCAAGTCTAAGACGCGAGAGCCCAGGACGGGCGAAACAACTTTGAGGCCAAGCGAAGCTCAAAGATCGACCGTGGCCAGTTGGGCGCGAAACTCGCAGAGGCCCGAGCGTTGGCCGGTTGATCAATCTTGGCATGGTCGAACCATTGCCGCGCGTCGTATGCACGCTTCTCTCCCGGCGCGTACAGTATGCAAGCGGGTGGAGCCGGCACGCTCCACCCTGGCGTAAGTCGGTGGTGTTTGGCATAATATGAGAGCTCACCTTGTTTCGATCATGAACGCTTGTGCGCGTGTCGATTGAATTCCTTCCAATTGGGCGACATCAGCTTGAGTGTCCAGTGTCCACAATTCATACGCCGCTCAACATTCTCGAGACCGGCACTCCTTTGGCCGAGTTCACCGTGAAGTATCATTCCAAGAGGGCTCAAAAGCCTAGCCGTGCGCAAGATTGTGAAAAGGCAAAAAATTGCAAAGTGCAGGAGAGGAAGATTGGAAAGTGCTCTTCCTTTCCCAGCACACTGATCAAAAAACCGGAGCCATCTAGTGAAATAGGTCATGCTGGAGGATTCTCAAAAGCAGAAGTACCAGACAGATGGAAACGCAGAGATATATAGGCCGGTGTTTGAAGTTGATAGATCGGCGCGAAAGTGGCGAATGAACAGTGCCGCATTCCAGTGGCAATATCTGCCCTTTTCATTAAAAAGCATCCTTGTTAGCATCGTGCTCAAATAGTTTTCTTTAAAGATTGTGTACTGAAAGCTTTCAACATATCAATGTTACGTATTTAGTTAATGTTGTAGTCGTACACGATGGAAATTGAACCTATTATATGGTGGTGGATCTTACGCTGTTTCGGGCCGATAGGAATCTTCCGTGCGGCGAGTGCGCCCACTACCAAGCCCTTTACCCAGAATTAGGACACTAACCCAGAGACTCCATGCATGGCACATCTACATACATTGACCGTAGGTGAATATGTTCCACCTGCTGCGAAAAACCGCTTGCTCACACAGATGGTTTCGGTCTTTGCGTTTGCCTCTGTTTCCCCGGTCTTTTTCAGCTCCAAGGGTTCCAAGTTTCAACTCGTGCCACCGCACCCAAGGCTCACGGCCTGTGGCCTTCGGCGAGCCTTTGGGGCCACGCTTCGTGGATGAGAACACCCAGGTGCCCAAGACGCTTTCGCGGGGAGGTGAACCCGCTGCTTTCGATGCCATGGAGGAAGGATGCCATGGGGGTACGCACCAAGACGCGACGCTTGATGTTTCATCTGGGAGATATCCCCCCAAATTTCTCTGGCAGGGGATGGTGTTTTTAAAATCGACGTGCGTTGAAACTTCAGGTGAACGGTCAGTCGGTGAACGTCCGGGGCAGTCCCACGTCTCCACGGCTCCTTTCCGAAAAAGACCGACCAACTACTCTCAGCTACAACTTCATACGAACTGCTCAGCTACGCTTGTGAAGCCAATCCCTGGTCTTCCATGGAACCCTCGTGGAGGTCGAAGATCTGCTTGCCAGCCATGAGTTGTCCGACATGTTCAGGGACTTTGGCAATCCTGATGGTTCTTGAGGGACCTGGAATTAGGCGATGTTCACGGAACGTTTGGGGATAGGAAAAACAAACATGGATCTTTGCCGAGCTGACACAACAGACATCAATTCTGGGACTTATTCACACTCCCCTAAGAATCCTTGGGCTCTCCATAGCAGGGGTCCGGACCCTCAAAACCCTATGTGTTGGTTTGGGCCCCGGATTCTTAGGGTCGCTCTTTTGAAAGATGGGGCTGTGCTTCGAGGCTATAGAGGTTGGCAGCCTTCGGCCTTGTCTGTCATCGGAGAACAACACTCAGACACCCAGACACTCGATGGGACTGGCATGTGTCCATTTAGATTGACCCCTGAAATCAACCAACCCATGGTAGGTACATATGTCCTACAATGTCATTCAGGGAGTGATTGAAAAGCCACAAAACCTTCCACACCGCGGCCGGTTGAACCACCGCAGCGGTAGGCGGCGGTGCGTGAGGACCTGGCGCAGCGGGTGGAGCTGCGGTGGAAAGCTCGGTGCCATGGCTGCGGCCATCGAAACGAGTCCATTGGAAGTTGCTTGGGAGTCCAAGAGGGAAGGAAAACATGTAGAGCTCAGGATACCCTAGAAGTCCAAGCATCATTGATTATACATTAAACGCTTCACACGGCCGTTGGAGAAGCAGGAAGAAAAGAAGGACCAAGTAGAGCTCAGAACAGCTCGCGGCTCTACGGATCGCGGATCTGGGGCCTTTTCTGGCCAGACGCGCGGTCTGTGCGACAGGGTATCCGATCTGTGTGAAGCCTTCGGACTTGGATGGTAGGGGGCCACACTCATCCCAAATTCAGATCCCTTCACCAACCGAGGTACTACTGGGAGTACTTGGATGGTCCCGGAACCCTCGACCCTTGGTGACACGAGCAGGCGCCGCGTCTTCGTCACTCGCGCGACTCACCTGCGGCGCATGCCGAACGCCGTCTCGGCCTCGGCTTCGGCAGGTTGGACATCGATTGAGGGCACTGAATGCCCGAAACACGTTTAACTCCAAAAATTCGCTCCATAGTTCTCACCCACCGACCCTGCAGGGGCCGTGCTCGTGCTCGCCCAGCTCCGTGCCGTGCTCTCGAAACCACGGACCGGGGCGGGGTGGACCGGTGTGGGAACGAGTCTGGACCTGTTGACCACGGCGGGTTCGGCGTGCCAGCCTCGGCTTCGGCAAGATGGACATCAAAAATGGGAGGGGCAGAGCCCAGAAGATCCGCTGGGTGAGGACTCTCCAAAACGGACCCCAATAGCAAAAGGAGCCTCATAGCAATGGCCTCCGACCTAGGAGCGTCCTTGCTCCGTTCGTAGCGATGCCAGGAGACCCGTTCGTAGCGTTCTTGCTCCCAATAGCAATGGCCTCCAAACTAGAAGCGATGGCCTCCAACCTACTAGCGACACCTCTTTGGTGGAACTGTTCTCCGGACTTGGGAGGGTCGGAGAGCGATGGTTGAACTCGGTGCGTCGTCGTTCCAATGACAGCAGGCGGCTGAAACATGGAATACACCCTCCTCATCCTGGTGATGTCGATTTTCCCTATGTGAATCCGCAAAATTGGAGGATGATTTGTGAGTAAGTATTTGTTCCTACCAGGGCCTTCAAGGGGTGGTTAATGGACACCCCTTAACGGCTAAGGGGCTATAAATAGACACCCCTTGGAGGGTCCTGGTATAGTTCTTCAAGTAAATCCAAGTTCTACACCATCCGACCATGAGTTGCCTCCGCCGCAGAGCGGTGTAAAAATGCCTCCGCCGACCCCCGAAAGGCTCAACTGACTGGTGCGAAGAAAGTAAGGAAGGAGGGAAGGACTACGAGCGATGGTCTCCAACCTGCAAAAGGAACCTTTTTTAGCAATGATATACCTACTATAGCGATGGTCTCCAACCTACACCCACAAGTTCATCCTTATTCGGGAATGACCGAAACCAAGAGATAGCTTCAAACTTCGGATCCATTTTCGTCCTTTCCTGGCTTTCGTTGCACTTTCGTCAGTTTGGTCCAGCCTTCGGGATCGCCCCAGGAATTGCCCAGCGGCTTTCTGCTGGCCACCCCTGCCTTGGCCGCGGAGAAGCACGGTGGCACCGTGCAGTTCCGTGCCTTCAACGCAGGGGAGGAGCTCAAGGCGTTCTTGAGCCTTGGATATCTTTGACATAGGAAAAAGACCATTTAGTTCTTACCGTCAAAGAATGATGGCTTATGAATCCTTCACCCCTGAGGCGAAGGCGTTCAAAAACGCGCGGGTCGGTGTTCGGCGTTCGCGGTCCGGTGGGGTGCAGCGTGGAACTGTTTAAGACGGAGTGCCGGTCTTCCCGGACGGAGTGATTCGAGTGATCAAGTAGAGTCAGCACATCGCCCCAAGAGACAGAAGCACAGGGGAGGAATGAAGATGGAAGGTTCTTTTGGACTGGGCCCAGTGAGCTGGCCGGATGGGTAGACCTTGTGGTGGAGGAAGGGAGATGAAGGGATTCACCTCTTTTGTTCCACTGGTCCAATGGCGCAATGCGGCGATATGCGTCATTGGAACCCATGTGCCAATTTGTTTGAGTCATGCCACCTGGGACAAGTGCCTTGCAACCAACCCTCATGTGGAGAGGGATCCAGGGTTGTTCTGAAGGCCCTGTTTCGAAGCGACTCTTGCCGCAGTCCCTGTCTTTTTGTCCAAGAATGATGATACCCCTCACCGTGCCTCACCCCCCCCGATGTCAAATCGGAGAGCATCGGCCGACGAAAACGCCGCATCCGGGGCACGTCTTTATTGCTCCATGCCTCCCGAGGAAGCAGCGCCGGGCGCGCGTGGTGGCCGATGCCGATCCCCGGATCCGACCCTTGCAGATCAAGGTCTCCTTCCCCGTGGAAGAGGAGGACCCGGTCAGCGCAAGAGAAGAGGGAGGTTTGGAAGAACCGAAGAAGACGTGGGAAGGTTTTGAGTGTTGGTGGTTTGGCCCTTCGACCACATAAGTGTGGTTTGGCAGTTGGGCGCAGGTTTCTGTGCGTGTGGCGAAAGCGAAAGGACTCTGTGGAAAGGACTCTTGTTTCTGAAATCAAAAGCATGGAGGGAAGGACAGTGCATGGAAACAGTTGGAGAGCTTGGTGTTTCGGTCCCTTCATGGGGCTCTTCATGTTCCCAGGGTCCATGGGGTCCAAGGAGGAGGAGTTGATCCGGACGGTTTCTCTGAAGTTGGAGGTGCCGGCGTCGGAATGGTGAGGATGGGGATCGCCTGAAAGAGGGTCTTTCTTTCTAGATCGCCTTTTGCTCCCAGTAGGGAGCATGGGACGGGCTGTGGAAGTCTCTTTCCTTGCAGTACCTACAGTAGCTACAAAATCCGGATCAGAAGACCTAAAACCAGGACGCCAGAGAATCAGCGGTTTTGGCCTGGACACTCTAGATTCCACAAGCCAACAATGAACACATCCCAGCAGCTCCATGGTGGCTTGGGCCATATTTGCCACGTACATGGAGTGAGCGTTTTTGGGGCATGGTAGATGTGCTGGTCCACAGCCATCCTTCTCTTGGTTCTTGTGTTTGGATCCCCAAGATTCCCACAACCTTCCTTTCGGAACCACCCATCGGCGATGATGTTGATGCAGCATGGATACATACTTGGATACATGGTTCTATGACCTCATGAATAAACACTACACACGGGATGTTTCACCGTAGCATTGGGCTCGAAGGGCATGCCAGTGTGTCCGACCTGCAGGAAGTGGTCCTTGCTTGCAGGTTCGTGTTCGGTGTGCACCTCATCCTCGCGGTTGGTCTCTGCTGTCACAGGCCCTCGACTGCCACCTACACAGGAAGCGCAGGCCAAGGTGACCAAAATACTGGACTCGGCTTTCTATTCTATAGGCCGCCTACTACCTGAAGACAGTCCAGAGAAGGGAGAATCTCCTCCCAGCGAGGGCCAGGTCGAGGAAGAGAAGAAGGGAGACACCCCTCCCAAGAAGCGGACCAAGGCGAAGGAGGAGGCCGCAGAGGTATCAGGGAAGGACAGCAGGACAAGCCGGAGGAGCCCACCACAGGTGACCGGAGTCTCACCTTATTTACAGCCGAAAGAAGAAGGAGAAAAGGAGGACAAGGGAGTCAGCACCACTCCCAAAAGGACAGAGGATCGCAGGCCCTTGCCTAGAAGGCGAGAGGAAGAGAAAGAGCCAGTTCGGAGTTCAAGGACGCCGAAGCGGAGACAGGAAAAGGAGAAGAAGAGAAGGAGGAGAGAGGATTCGAGATCAGGTGAACTGAGCGGTTCGGAGGTTAGGAAGCAGAAAAGGGAAGTCGCAGACTCCCAAAAGGAGAAGAAGGAGAAGGCGGAGGAGACAGTCGTGAGGGATCCTGCCATTGAACGAGAACCCCACCTGAGACCGAGACCTACTCAGAGGCAACCCAGATCACCTCATACACCTGAACGTCCTCCACCAGGAAGGTCATCAGGATCTAAGGGTGGAAGCAAAGGAAAATCGCAAGGAAGCGGTTGGAGGGGTAAGATACCCTACTCAAGCCACCCACGTTGGTCGCAAGGGACCAACAAAGGTATCACAAAGAGGGCGAAGCAGGAGCTTCAGGAGAGGAAATCGTACGGCCGCGGAGGCCGTTACAGGTGGTAAGGGAGGCAATGGCTCCCAAGATGAGACGACCGGCTGCGTCAGTTCCTCGTGCCCGACCTCGCCATAGACCTGCCGCGGAAAGGGAGGAGCACCTCCCAGTGGAGAAGCTGTACTCATGGAGTGACCTCACGCTCGAAAGGCTAGGGGCTTTGGATGTGATTGAGCTGGACAGGGCTTCATATTACAATGCCTCAGTCAAGGTGGCTGGCAGGGTCCGTGCTTTACATCCGGGTGATGGCCGCATGGATTTCGTGCTGACGGGCACCCAGTCGGAGAGCATTATGGAGGCGTTTGGAGGAGGAGAGGACCGGCTCATTTCGGTCCACCTTTGCAAGGACAGCTGCGGCCAGCTAGAGACCGGCAGGAAAGTGTTCCATGCCCGAGGGTTCTGGGATTGCTCAGTGGCCCCAAAAGAATGGCAGATGAACCTCTCCGAGAAAGCCGTTGCGGAGCTCGATGAGTTGTCGTCATTGAGAAGGCTTGCCGAGGAGCGTGGAAAAGGGAGGGGAGGAGATAAGCCTCCCAGACCTGAGGTGGCGGCTGCAGAGGTGGTTGAAGGAGAAAAGAAGATAGAAGGGGGAAAGGAAAAGAGGAAGAAGAAAAAGAGGAAAGAGAGAAAGGGTGAAAAGGAATGGGAGGAGAAGTTGGAGGCCCAGGAGGGGCTTGAGGTGTTGGAGAAAGGGCAAAAGACCGCCAGGGCTGTCTTTGCCTTTACCTGTCTGGACCCAAATGTGAGCCGCCGTAAGAGGCTGATGCGGAAGGCCCGAAAGATGAAGAAGAGGAGTGACAAGAAGCGGAAGCGGTCGAGCAGCTCTGAGGAGGAGGCCAGCAGCTCAGATAGTTCGTCTGAGGAGGACGGATCTGAAGAAGAGGGGCCGTTATTTGAGGAGACAAGAAAAGTGAAGCGGCTTCATGAGAGATACCCCGGAGCACTGAGTTTGCAGGCCATAGAGAATATGCGAGAGCATTTGATGAGCGCCCGAGGAGACTTATACAGCAGTTCACAAGAGCAGCTGGCACCGGTCTTTGCGATTTACGCTCATCAACACCTCAAGGGTCAGGCATCGCCGGTTCTCTGGCAAGAGATTAGCACCGTGGCCCACGTCAGCGATCTCATCCTCCGGCGCAAGATTGCGGCAGCGCTGGATGTTTTGGTCCAGAGGGCCAAGGCACTAGAGTCGACCCTCAAAGGCGGGCACTACACAGTGTCGAGGCAGCTAGAGCTCGTGGGGGCCGACCAGGTGGCCATGACAGAGGCAGGCGAAAGCTATGAAGCGGCCCGCCATGCCCGCGAAGACTTCCGCAACAAGACGGTGGGGCCCAAGCCCTATGGAATGGGGCGAAAAGGCGACAGTGAGGGCAAAGGCAGAGGCAAAGCTGTTCCATCTTCAGAGCCGGCGTACAAGGAGAAGGGTGAGAAGGGAAAGAAAGGAAAAGGAAAATGGGACCGCAAAGGAAAAGCAGAGAATGGCTAGCCGGTGAGACTGAGGATGGAACAGCACATGAGAGAAAGAGTAGAGGAAGTGCCAAGAGAGGAGAGTCGCCAGGAAAGAGAGAAAAGAGGGGTGATAGACAGGTGAGGCAAAAGAGAACAGAGGATACAGGCAGAGGAGATGAGGAGGAAAAGGCCATAGAGGCCCTATTACAGCAGTGCCGGGAGCGGGCAGAAGGCTATGAGCTTGGAGGAGCAGCTCTTGTTGAAAAAAGTCCAGGAGGGGCTCTGGGCCGAGCAGAGGAGGAGAGTAGTGTACAGGGGAGGGACTGCGGAGCGCTCTCCCAGCATGCGGAACTGGAAGCGGAGGCTGCAGGTATGGACCGTGGCTTATTGGCTGAAGGTGTCTTCGCTGGAGGGAGTGCTGCAGGAGAGAGGCAGAAGGGAGGGGAGCACATGACGAGGGGCTCCCAGTTTTTCCAGGGCGAGTCCGGGCGACCCCAAATGAAGGAGAGCCGCTGGGACGTCTATGCCGGGACACCACGACTGGATTTCAACTCGTGCCGTGGTGGAGAAGTTGTGCACAGAAGTCCCCGTACTGCGGGGCAAGGAGTGTCAGAACAAGCCGGGCACGACCTCGAAGAGTTGCGCCTGATGCTACAAAACAAGAGTCAGCAAGAAGAGATGGTGGTGGGGGAGATGGGGCCCTTACTCTCCCGTATGTTGGAGGTTTTCGATGATCAGTTGAACACGCGTTGCAGTCAGGCCTCGGAGGGGATTTTCCCTCTCCCGCTTCCAACACAACTAGGGATGAGTGGGGCCCAAGTATCTTTCCTTGAGGCGATTGTTCGTGGGTTGAACCTACTTGCCGGTACTAGGAGTAGGTGGCTGAGGACTCCCAGCAAGGTTTCGCAGGAGCTGGTTTGTCGTCTTGAACAAGTTTTGGAGGGTTGTGAACTGTTGAAAGAAAAGGTGCCGCGGCTTACTTTTCGGGAGTTCTTCCGCACCAAGACCATCGATTATTCGGGAGAAGAGGTGAAAGTCGCTCGCCGGTTTACTTGGCAGATGATTGAGGCAGCTCTGCCCCAAGGGGTAGGAAGTTTGGTGTTGACCGAGTTTTGCACTCAAGGGACCCTTGATTATGTACGGAATTTCGAGCAGTGCCTTCTACCGGATCAGGATCAGCACTTGGGGAAGACGCCAGCCATCATGGTGGAGCAAAGCGACTGGGCTGAGGTGTGCCGGGGTCTGGTCGCTAGGGGAGTTTGTGGTCTGATGAAAAGGGAGGAACTGCACCATGTTCGGGGAAGACCCTTACTTAACGGCCTTTTTGCAGTGGAGAAGGGGGAGAGAGCAGTTGGAGCAGATGGCATTGAATTTGACGTATGCCGGCTAATCATGAATTTGGTTCCAACCAACTCCCTTTGTCGCAACTTGGTCGGGGATACGGCAACGCTTCCCTCAATAGTCGGACTCACGTCAATCATCCTTGAAGACAGTGAGCTGCTCCTTACATCCTCAGAGGATATCCGGTGTTTCTTTTATCTATTCCAGACACCACCAGAGTGGTGGCCCTACATGGGCTTTGCACGGGAGGTGCCAGAAGAGGCCCTCCCAGGGGGCTACTCCGGACGGGAGTGGCACCTGGTGACGAAGGTGTTGCCTATGGGGCTCATCAGCTCGGTTGCGATCGCCCAGCACGTGCACAGACGAGTGATTGGACAAGCTCTCTATTTAGGAGCGAGCCTTGCGTCAAAGCATCAGGAGATCAGGCGTGACCGGCCCAACAGTCGGGCCGATCATCTATTCAGGGTTTATTTGGACAACTTTGATGAGCTGCGCAAGGTGGACAGGCGGGTGGCCGAGCTTGTGGAAGGACAACCATCAGACTGGACACTAGCCATCAGAGAGACGTATACATGCCTGGGGCTCCCGCGCCATCCTAAGAAGGCAGTGGAGCAGTCCATGCACGCGGAGGTCCAGGGAGCCTGGGTGGATGGGAGTAGAGGAACAGCTACCCCCAAGTTCAGCAAGGTTGCCAGGTACTTGAGTCTGGCAATGGAGGCAGTTGCGCAAGGAAAGGCTTCGCAGCGAGAGCTACAGATTATTGGGGGTGGTTTCGTCTACATTGCAATGTTCAGGCGCCCTCTTCTCTCAGGGTTGAATGCCATTTGGAAGAAGATTACTAGTCTGAAAGGCATTTCACCTCATCAGCGCTCTGCGTTGAGTCGAGAAGTCGAGGTAGAGCTGATCCGCTTCATCGCAATGTGTCCCTTGGCATTCATGAACTTCAGGCTACCTGTCTCGGAGCACGTCACGGCTAGTGATGCGTCGACCACGGGAGGTGGGCTCTGCGTATCCCGTGGGCTTAGCACTTACGGGTTGGCGGCCTCCCAGGCTGAGGCGCGAGGGGACGTGCTATGTCCGGATGAGATCGACCAGATTCTCGTGATCTCGTTGTTTGATGGGATTGGTGCTTTGCGGGTTGCTCTGGATTGCCTGAGAGTACCGGTGGCTGGGTTTGTCTCGGTGGAGCTTGATGACCACGCCTCTCGTGTTGTGGAGTCGTTCTTCCCGGATGTGATTCGGGTGACTGACGTTGGCTTGGTTGATCTTGAGATGATGCGGGGTTGGGGGCTGCGTTTCCCGTCGGTGTCGCTTGTCCTGTTGGGTGCGGAACCCCCGTGCCAAGGAGTCTCAGGTTTGAACGTGGACCGGAAGGGAGCTATGAAGGATGCGAGGTCTTCCCTATTCCAGCACATCCCAAGGATCGAACAAATGGCGCGGCAGGTTTTCAAGTGGTGCCCATTACACCGTTTGATTGAGAATGTCGCCTCCATGGATAAGGTTGATTGCTTGGCGATGAATCGGGAGTATGGGATGGAACCTTGGGTGGTAGATGCTCATGGCATTTCCTTGGCTCGTCGACCGCGTCTTTATTGGATGGACTGGGAGATGGGGCCACAAGAAGGAGTTGCAGTTGCTCAGGGGAGGGTCAGAGGCCTCCCAGTGCAGGGAACTATCCAACTTCACGGTCAGGTGGATGATGCTGACTATCTGGAGCCCGGCTGGAGACGTGTCAAGCCTAGTGGGAGTTTCCCCACGTTCACCACGGCTAGGCCCTCGGACACACCAGGAAGGAAACCCGCGGGGTTGGCGCTCTGCCCTCCGGAAGCTTTGAACAGGTGGAGGAGCGATTCTCACAGGTTTCCGCCCTACCAATATCGGGATGAAAATTGCGTGGTAAACTCCCAGGGTTTAATGCGTGTCCCATCCATTTCAGAACGGGAGGTGATCCTGGGGTTTCCCCTGGGATACACCCGCCGGTGCATGACAAAAGCGGCTGAGGGGAGTACGTGCCATAGCGACTGTCGGCTGAAACTGCTAGGCAATAGTTGGTCGGTGCCGGTTGTTTGCGTGTTGTTGAGCTCCTTGTTCCGGTTGCTTGGTTGGTTGCCGTCCCTATCAGTTCAGGAGATTCTTGATCGTTTGACGCCAGGATGTGCTTCAGATCTTGCCGGCTTGCTATTGCGGCCACCTCTACGTCACAGTAGTCAAGTTACACAGCCCGGGTCAGGATTGGTGCGAAAACTGCTTGGCCAGGTGTCTGTCAAGGGGGAAGACATTCTCCTCCAACTGGGCAGTGATGTCCCTGCTAGGTATCATCGTCTGCGAGCGTCGCTTCCGAGTAAGCTTTGGAGGTGGAGAGATGTCATCGGGTGGCGCTGGAAAGGAGACGTGGAACACATCAATGCCCTAGAGCTTCGGGCAGTCAAGACGAGTCTGGTTTGGAGGATTAAGGAGCTGCGTGAAGGCCCTGTCCGTTTCGTTCACTTAGTCGATTCTCTGGTTGTTCTGCATGCTTTGTCGAGAGGTAGATCTTCAAGCCAGAAACTCAGGAGGACCTTGGCAAAGATAAGTGCACTGTTGTTGGCAAGCGGCTCTGTTGGTGCTTGGTCCTATGTGGACACGCACCAAAACCCAGCAGATCGGCCGTCCCGGCGGCCCGTCCAGCGGAAATGGGTAAGAAAGGTGCAAAAGTGATCGAGGGCCGTAATCAACAACAGCGCATGAAAGTGAGGAAACAACTGGGGACTTTGAAGGGGTTGACCGTTCAGCCTCGGACTCGTGAACGTTATCAGACATGTCTTGACAAATTCATTGATTGGTTGGCAGGGGAGGGGCTTGTCCTCCCAAAGCGTGCTCAGGCCCTAGATAGTGTTGTATCTGACTACTTGGAGTTCTTGTGGGCTGCTGGTGAAAGCAAGTCGGTCGCCAATAACACCTTGGCGGCTCTGCAAGATAAAGAACCAGGTTTGAAGCGACGCCTCACGGGCAGCTGGCGGTTGTTGAAAGCATGGTCAACCGCCGAAATCCCAAACCGCGCGCCTCCAATGACCCTGACAGTGCTGGATGCACTTTGCGGCTGGTTTCTCATGAAGGAGCAGCCGCTCATAGCCTTGTCGTTGCGCGTGGCCTTCTTTGGGTTACTTCGCACGGGAGAGCTGCTCACTTTGCGAGCGCGGGATGTCTTTCTTCCTTCTCCCAAGGGGCCCGCCGTGCTTTCACTCGGGCTTACAAAAGCGGGAGCACGCCAAGGAGCTGCGGAAAGTGTGACATTGCATGAGGACTCTGTACTTCCCAGTCTTTTTCGTTGGAAACAGTCTGCACGACCCTCCGAATTTTTAACTCCGAAACCTCACCAGTGGCGTAGCTGGTTTTCCCAAGCCATAGAAGGCCTACGACTGACCCACTTGGAATTCCGCCCTTACAGCCTCAGGCGAGGTGGGGCCACATTCTTTTTTAACCACCACGGATCTTTCGATCGCTTGCTGGTCCAGGGACGTTGGGCGGCCGCGAAAACGGCCCGTATTTACTTGAACGATGGGCTAGCTCAGCTGTCCGAGATGACACTCCCTAATTCGGCGTTGCATGGTTACATCCGTTTGTTCCGCTCGTGCCCAATACTTGAGCCTGGGAAGCCGTGTACACTTCCCAGAGCTGGGGGGCGTGGAAAGAAGCGCAAAACAGGAAAATGAGAGTTGGTGTCTTGCTCAGTTTTTCTCCAGAATACCCGCAAGATGGAGTTATCTTGAAGGGTCCTCTCAAAACACTTGAGCTCGGGTATGCTCCGGTTTGGCGGTAGCATATCTGAGGGGTGTAGGGGGGCCCCCCATCACTTCTGGTTTGGCGGAGTGATTGGGGGGTCGGGGCCCCGAGAGGTGAGAAAGTAGATCACAGGTACGTTTGTTTCAGACCTACTCTCTGCAACGCGTGAAAACAGGAAGTGTGGTCGTGTTTATATATATATATATATATTATTATGCATATACCTTGTAGGTCCCACAGTTCCAAGCAAGAACCCCCAATGGTGGGAAGACACCTCGAAAGGTGCACATGCACAACCAAGGAAGGCCAGGGAAGGCGTACACCATCATTCTCCCCAAACCTTCCTTCAGGTCACCTGCGATCTAGAGGGAGTCCTTGAATCAACCAGGTGCCCCTGCAGGTCGGTCCTTGTCACTAGGCATTTCAATGACCCAAAGATGCCCCAAAAGACCACCAAGACCACCAGGCCTTGGGCGGATGAGCTGACTTCACCTGCCACCCCCGCCGTGCGCCCACGAGGCGTCGGCGTCGGCCACGTGCGACGAGGAGGGCGACGTCTTCGTGTCTTCGGAGCTCTTCCGCCAGGCGGGGCCGAAGGGATGCCGACATCGGACCAAGGCCTGAAATCAACGACATGAAGTACCAACAGAGGTTGAATGACCCGAACTAGACTATCCCAGTTCGGTACCCCAGTAGGGTCCTAGTTCAGGTCACTTAACCTCTCATGGTACATAGTTTGTGGTGGCTCACTTGCTTGGACCATCCAAATCAAGAACCGCCAAGCTTTCAGACCAACAGACAGGTCTCTTGATGTCTTTTTTTGGAGGGTTTTCGAATCAAACCTTCAACTGGGGAACTGGCTTCAGCTTCGTGCGTGCCACCACGCATGGGCGCGCCCGTTTGGCGTCCCCAAGCAGCATGACGTTCGGGTCTTGCCCGAGTCACGAGAGTCACAAGCCCGAACGTTTCATGACGTAGGTGCCAGGGGTGCTAGGTGATGTGTTCGACACTGAGCCCTGGAAGTCAAAGACCATGTTTTAAATGGTGTTGTAGTCTAAAACCCTAGGTAAAACAATGGTGGTTCAGTAGAGGCTATTAAAACAATGGTGGTTCGACTTCTAGGGTGAGACATGTAGGTGCCAGGGTCGGGTCCGGTGGTACTGAAGCTGAGGGGGGTACGACTGGACTTTTTTTAGGGCAGGACTTGTGGCCAACTGTGACAGACCCATCCTCTAGGCGAGCATTGGTGGCTGACCCTTTCAGCTCGCGTGGTTCCCCGTTCGACGGGTGTCCGTTCCGTGGTCTTTCACGGTTGAACCCGAAGCAACTGCGGTCCATTTCACCCAGGTGAACGGGTGGTGCCACTGAGGCGCCAAACGGGCTGGGCTCCACAAGATCACCAAGATCCCAGCCATGCCACCAAGGGTTCACCGAGCAGGTTGACGGTCAAGGTCCTGAGTCAAGACAAATATGGTGAGTCACGACCCATCCCTGAGTTTTCAACAGATCAAAAATCCCTCAACCACCATCCCTTTTCCAAGTTCGACGGCCGTTTTTCCATCGTTTTTTGGGTTCCTCCCAACATGGAGGCTTCCATCGACGACCCCCAAGGCCGTCCATCAATGCTGTCCGTAGCGCCGTAGGTGATCTCCACCGAGGGTGAGATCGACAGCGTGGGCCGCTTCGAAGTCTTGAACGACCCTCGACGGCAGACGGCGTCGTCCGGCGTCGTCGCGCTTCGCGGTGCTCGGTGCTCCACACGGTGCCGAGCTCGAGCTGAAGTGCCCGGGGTCATGACAGGCCCGGGAAGTGCTGATCGAAAAGCACCGGTGTTTCTTGCTTTTTTCCCTGTTTTGGGTGTGTTTGGGGTGGTTGGTGATCCCAAAATCGAGGTCACTCAGCTTTCTGGTTGGTGGTGACCGCTTCAGCTTCAGCTTCACCTCGACGAAGTCTCCACCGGTTGGTTGCCGACGTCCCGTTCGCTTCGGGACGAGACTTCCGGTTCGCGACAAGCAGAGGTCACGAAGGTTTGCTGTTTTTTGTTCAACTCCACGCTCCGTTTTTGTTGGTGGTCCTCAAATAGAGAATGGCACGGTGTTTAATACTTTTTTAGTGGGGATCTATCCTTTTTCTCCATTTGAGGGTCTGTATACCTAGCTGCCTATACCTGGCTGGTTTAATGAATACGCATCAATTCGGCACAGTTCGAAGATCTAGGTATGGGCCATGGGACATCAAACCAACGCCTCCTTTCAGCCGATGACTGGTGGTGAACACCCCGAAGAACTCACCGAAAACCTCGAACTGAGGCACCCCTTAGTTTGACACCTTGAAACGGAGGTCCTGGAGTACGGGATGTGTTCTGCAAATGTCCATGGTGTACGGGATGAGGACCCACAAGGACCCGCCAACAGAAAGAAATGGATTCCGAGCAGCTCCACAGTCCACAGTCCCACCTTCTGCGACCGACGATGAATGGAAGTGTTCTTGGACTCGTTTTGGGGGGAAAAACACCTCACAGTCGCACTTCTCCAAACCACGAGATGTGTTGCGGCAGAGGCTGAAGCTGACCCCGCCGTGGAACCTGCTATAGCGTCCGATCGCTCCGTTCGAGTCGCGATGCCCTTTGCTCCGTTCGTAGCATTCTTGCTCCGTTCGCAGCGGTGCCAGGAGCCCTTAGTAGCTTCCTTGCTCCTAGTAGCGATGCCTGGGTACCCCCTTTCTCCATGTTTCCTTCGCGAAAATCATGTTTTTCGTGCGCCACTTCCTTCATCGTTCACTCCCAGCGAAACTTCGCCCGCCTCTTCAGGCCTACCGCCGGCTCTCACCCACACACATTACCGCACCTCGAATGAAGATGGTCGGACCCGCAGGGAGGAGCGTAGATGGGCGGACCCGCTGGCGCTTTGGTTGGTTGATATTATTTTAGAGCATGGAGGGATACCCCCAAGACTAGAATTCATACCAGGACCGCCGTGAAGAGTGTTGATTGGGGCTTTTCTGGTCGCTCAAAACCTAGGGATTGGTGAGAAACCCCAGACCCCTGTCCCAAGGATAGGATTCGGGTCCAGGGTCGCGTCGAGACGCGGAAAATACATTTCCGAGGTGCTTCTTGCTACTTGTAGCTTCGTGTTACTAGTAGTGATGGCCTCCGACCTGGTAGCGATGGCCACCTAATAGCATCCTTGTTCCTAGTAGTAAGAATGCTCCGTTCGTAGCGATGCCAGGTTCGCCCCGTTCGTAGCGTCCTTGTTACTAGTAGCTTCAAAGACCGTTCCTCGTAGCGTCCTTGTGCGGAAGACCGAGGTGAAGAATCGGGTGGCGAAGTACCTCGTGCCGGAAGATGAGCTCTACGAAGAGTCCCAGAACCAGGTGACGGACGGTGCGATCGTCCCAGTGGCCGTGACCCTGGGATGGGCCCAGTGGCCGTGACCTACCAAACAGACAAGCCAGGGGGTCAATGTTCGGTCACGAAGCTCAGCGGAACGGAGATAGGGACCGGTTCTTTTTGGACAAGACTTGTAGACGTCGCGAAGGCGAGAGAGTGGTTGTTGAGATGAGATCAGGAGATCAGGAGATCATGTTTTGTATGGGGGACGAGCTCAATCCTTTGTGTCCCAGAACTTGGATGCTTCAGTCATCGACGCTCATCGTCGCTAGATTCCGCCTGAATGCTTGAGCAAGATCAAGCCTACTGCTCGTGGAGCGCGGACTTAGGCAGACCAAGACTTGAGTATGATTCCAAGAATACATAAGAATACTACCAGCACCTTCCAACAGGTCTCCGAAATGGAGGGTTGTTAGGCCCTAACAGGTTTCAATTGGTGACCTGTGAAGTCGGTGCTGGTAATAGAATATATACATTATAAGAAACCTTCCGGGTTCACGTGTCCTTCATCCAGTTTCAGCGTCCAAGGGTCGACCCAACTCGCCAGGCGGTGAGTTGGCTGGACTATGCCTGGGATTTGCGACGTGACTTGCTGAGGAACCGGAGAAGCCATGACGCGCTGAAAGGGAAACCTGTTGCTTTTAGCTCCAACTGCTGGATTCCAAATATGTGACCAAGTGAAAGATAGATAAAGCTAGATCCGCAGGAGAAGTCAAGTTGAAGCTCACCAGTTGCCTAGCATGGAACACTTTTTGACGTCTTTTTGCCGGATCTCACAGATGTCTCCGGGTCTCAAAATGGGTTCAGACCAAATGGTCAAGAAAAGGTCCGAAGGAAAAAGGATGGTTGAAAGTTCTTGCAAGAAAGACAGAGAAGACATACTCTCCCTGGAATTAACATGGAAGTGGAAAACCACCTGTTTGTAGTGGAAAATGGTCTTCCAAGGGGCCATTCTCCACATAACCATGTTAGTTCCAGGGAGTGTACTGATGTCATGTCATTCCACTTCGTATGTCCAGCCGTCCACCCCCATACAGTCCACCCGTCCGCAGCACCGGTTGCGACACTTCCAAGGTCTCAAGACCTGCATTGGGACGCCCTACGGGGAGCAGTGTGCAGGCGGAGCGTTCTGTGTCGAAGACCTGCCTGGTTTCCACCCAATCCCAAGCAGAAATGCATGGCGACAAACTGGGCGTCGAACAGGCCGACTCGACGAGGAACCAGGACGCGACGATTTCGGAGCATTTCGGGCATCGCTGAACGGAACACGGACGCAGTCCCAACTTGCCAACCACTTGCTGTGTGGATCTATGGCGCTGGCGCCGGAACATGTATGGTCGCAGGAAAAACATCGTCGTCGAGGAAGAACTTAAGGCACCAAACAACTTGGACTCAGACACTTGGACGGTGAAAAACGAAAGACGACTGAAGACTGGCATTTCTGCCCCGGCTATCCCACAGAATCTGGGCGAAACGAAGGGCTCACAGTTCGATTCTGAGCTTTGATCTTCCAACGACGTGCAGGTCATTTCTGCCTTTTCATCCATTAAATCCACCAAGTTAGGCATATATGTTGCACAGTTGGACGATCTAGGTATAGTATCTAACTGAAGAACTTCTTGGGTGAAGCCTTTAACATCTTCTCAGCTCGGACCCTCGGTCCACACCGACGCGCCAGGGCTGCGAGGGGTGTTTCGAGCGGAGTCACGCAGGAAGTACTGCAAGGGCCGAAACTAGCCGTCTACCACGACCATGGTTGCGTATACCACGACAGGGGTCCTTATACCACGAGAAGGGTCCTTATACAAGGGCGTACTGTTGGTGGCTGGATCTCACGTGGTTGAGACAGTTGAGACATGGTGCCAAGGACCTTGTTCTTCGTCTCACAAAGCGTGAGCAAGAGGTGGCCTGCCAGGTCGGCTGTAGGAAAACGGGCCACGCTAGACTCCGGGTAGACCTTGCAGGATCCTTTCGCTCGAACTGGAACACTTCGAGCCAGCCAAAAGCCAACCTCGCCCAAAAAACGCTACGGAACATGCCTTGCTGAGCTCGAACCGGTGAGGTGAAAACACGGCTCTGCAACGTGTCGATGCCAGACACGTCTGAAGGTTCCGTGTCCTACCGGGGTCGCAGGTGAAGCTGATCATGTAGACTCTTGATGATATTTCACCCCCCCAATTGAATTGGAAATCCTCTTCATATGGGTGGTGAAATATCATCAAGAGTCTACAATAGGGGGCTCATTGGTCCCCACCTTAAAGTCGCTTCACTCGACAGACGTTGAAGTTGAGCATTGACTGATCCCTTGTGGAAAACATGTGTTGTAAACGTGGATGTTGTTTTTAGGAATCTTCTTTCACTGGTTTGTGGCTGCAGGAGGAATTCCGCAAATAGGACTCCAGCACGAATCCTACCTTTATCACCTTTCCTTCAGGTGGCTTTTTCAGCCACCAACCTCCGTCCTCCCGTCGGTCAGGGTCAACCCAGCTTCATACCCCAAGCGAGGTGGGATACCCAACTGGGCTAGTCCCAAAAAAGGGCTTCGGAAGCACCTCCATGTCCTTTTCATTCCAGCTTTCACCACAGCGAGATGTTCTTGACACATTCTCTGCGCTACGGCCAGGCTGAGATGTGTCACCTGCGAAAAAAAAAAGACGCGGTCCGCCTGGTCAGGGCTTGGAGTGGGTCCCTAAAGGAGAAAGAAAGAAACGGACACATGGCTGGCTGGATCGTCCTGAAAAACGGGAAAAAAACATTGCAATCAGACATATTCATGACATGCATGTGTTTACCAGGCCTCATGTGTTTACCAGGACCATCCTGTCGGGGTGTCCTGGCTGGACTACCCCACACGACCGGCCGTTTGGCTTCCAGACAGGGCACCCCACAGTGTCGGGTCCAGGTCGAATGTCTTTCGATACCCGACGGTGGGGAAGGTGGGGCGTGCAGAGCCACGGGTGGCGGGTCTGGGGGACACCGAAGGTACACGTGTGGCGGGTCAAAAACCGCGGAGGTTGAGAAGAGAATCGACGACCAGGGAAGGTCCAGGTTTGGATCTCCAGTTGTGACCCGCAGCGCGGTGCGTGGTGCACACCGTGTTGGTCGCATTCGGTCCTGCCCACCGTGGCCGTCGAGGAGAGTTCTCCGAGATGGCTCAGGACGTTCCGCTTCACGGCGAAGGGGGTTCGCTGCGCGGGCTTCGCTGGTTGCGGGGGTTTGTGGGGTGTTCTTCTCTTGATGATGTTTCTCCAACAGATTGAAGTTGGGTGTTCTCCATTGGTTTGGGGGAAGACAATCCCCAAGAGTTGGAGGTGGCACTGAGAGCTGAGGCTCTCGGTGAAGGGAATACCTGACTGGTGTTCGATTCGATTCGAAGCGTGCGTCCCGGTTGGTGTAACGGTCAGATGTCGGAACTCCTGGCCGCTTGGATGGTGCAAGCTGAGGCGGTCCCCGACTACGACAGTCCGCAAGAAAACGTCTCGAACCTCAACCAGGACCCTCCAACAGGCTGTTTGGAGACCCTAACAGGTGGTTTCTGGGCACCTGTTGTCACCAGGAAGCACCTGTTGGAGGGTGCTGGAAGAGAATTCTTTACCGTGGAGGCAGATTCTCACAGGGTACCCGAACTGAAAAGCGATGACCTCCACCCTAAGAGCGATTCAAACTAACAGGACTTGCCTCACCGCGCATCGCCCGGGCATCCCAATACCGGGGGTCCTGCACCAACCTCCTCAGGAGGTGGCGGCCGCGTTGCAAGGCCAGCGGAACGGTGCCGGGCGCAGGACCTGGACCTGAAGCGTTGTACCCTTCCGCCAAAGACCAGAGCCATTCCCCAGACACGACCCATGGGAGAAACCGAAGGACTGCCTTCATGTCTCGGTCACCGGGGGTCCATGAGGGGTCTTTCTGGGGTGGCAGTCCGGACTGGCAGTCCCATGGGTCGTGTTTGGGTTCTGGGTGGGTTGAAAAGATTCACATGACTATGAGTGTTCTCTCACAAAAGGGTGAAAAGCCGCAGAAAAAAGAAAGACGGACCCATGTTCGACCCCTTGACCGCTTCTTGTTCGCACCACTTATCCCGACCCCTAGACTTCCAAGACCATTAAAAAAATGGGAACGACCTGGTTTCTGTAGTGTAAAATCCTTAGTTGGTTCGGTAAAGCCTATTAATTTGATGGTGGTTGGAAGTCTAGGGTACTGTGGACTGAGACACTACAAAACCAGCTCGGGCGGTGTTTTCGCATGTGGAGAAGCACCAGCACCCCCTGAGGTTCGATGGTCTTCGACCCCCCTGGCTCACCCAATCCTGGCCGATCGAACCGAACCGGTGGGCGGGCCAGGAGCGGAAGACGATCGGTCTTCGGTGGATGAAAGACGACACGTCCGAAGACCGCCAGTCTTCACGTTTGGCAACGGCCACGGGTGTCCGGAAGAAACGGGTCCTGACCTGCATACGGAAGAATCGCCTCGAGTAGTTGTTATTTGCCTTGGAAACAACTGGAGAATGAAAAACTGGGTGTTCCAGAACAAACAACCAATAGTAACAATATATACCGGTGGCCTACCCAATGTTTTTCTATCTTTTTCTCACCTCAGTGCTTTCACTAAAGCTTGAAGAATGTCTCTCCTCACATGCACGCCAGTCGACGCTTGCGTCGTCCACGGCGTTGTGGTTTGGTGGTCCCGGTGCCGATCATGGTGGGCCCGGTCGACCGGTCGACCTCGCCAGGTCTCGATCAGCTGTTGGCCCGGCACGTTTTGACGTCACGCTGTGCGGCGGCGGAGTTTTTGGGGATCGACGGTGGCGTGGGGGTGTTGGCCCGGTCGTGAAGCGCTCGCGAATGAGGGGCAATGAGGGGAGAGTTGCACTCCAGTTCGCTGGAGGTTGATGTGTCTTCTTCCAGCACCCTCCAACAGGCTGTTAGTTGAGGGTTGTTGGACCCTAACAAGTCTCAATTGGTGACCTGTCGGAGGGTCCTCGTATGTTTTTTTGGTGAATCAAATCTTTTTGCTGGCCGGAGAGTGGTTTTTCTTTGCCCAAACGAATCTCTTTCCCCAAATGATGTTTTTTCCTCATTGGGAAGTACCAGGACCTTTGACAGTAGGCGGCGTTTGTTCCCCTTGGAGCGCAACAGGGTTGTCCACCATGAAGGGCTTTGACCCGCAAGGGAGGTCGTTTGCAACGCCGCAACACCTTTCAGACACAGGCCGTCTCTACAGCTTCATTTGATCCCCCAAAAAGTCGTGGGTTTGGTTTCCGAGGTCACGGAAT